ATGCAAGGGCAACTGAAATGTCTACGATTTTTTTTTTTTTTTTATATATATATATATATATATATAATTATCGATTTTATCTATAATATAATTATTACGAGTACAACAATTTTAAAAACGAATTAATTAATTAAAACTTAATTTTCTATACAAACTACATTTCACATAATCGTCACTATCGTAACCTACAGTTTTGGATTAATTAGAAAAACATCGAATTCAATATAAAATAAATGCGATTGTGAATCGAATTATTTTAGTTCTATCAAAATGAAACGAAACGTCGGTGTGATTCGCATTGACGCATATAAAGGGGAGAGGGCTCGGAAGGATTGGGTCCGTTCAAAACTCAGCCAGGCCTGGGCGACACACGATTCCGCACAATATACCCTTTTACCTACCCGATTCCGCACATTTTCATAATACAAAAGATTTTTTTTTTCTGGCCGTAATGTAACAAGATTCCGCATAAAAATTGTTTCGACGTTGTCATTTATGATAAAAAATATTTATAATAATATAAATAAAGAAAAAAATTAAATAAATAATAAAAATGAAATTATTTAAAAAATGTATTTCAATTTTTCCCTTATAATAAATAATTAAAATGAGTCAAAAATTATAAAAAATAAAAATGTAATATTACAATTTTTCCCTACATATCCCGGACATACTTGTGATAAAAGTTGATTTTAATTGATTTGATTTATATTTATTGTATGCATTTATGGTGAATTCCATACGTTCTTTTTCTATTGCGTTCAACATTTTGTGATCATTGTGCAGTGTTATCGACCTGATTTTAGTTTCGGTTTCCTTCAAAATTCCATTAATACTTTTATTACTAAATAAATATGGGGGCGAGGGTGATAAAATTGGACATTATATGTGACTTATATATAAAACTTTCAGAACCATTAGCTGTCCTATGAAAGGTATAAGTAATGTATAGTAAATATTATTAGTAATATGTAAATATTATTGTTGATTTTACTTAAATCAAGTGGTTGAAGTTGATTAAACATTTATTTTTACCTTTTTGATTATGGCCACTATAGGTAACCATAATCAATATTATTATAGGGAGCTTAAACCCCTACCCGAAATATTTGGGTTATTTGCGCCTATGCTATAGTTCGGTTCTTAAATATCCGGTTTACGTATATTTATATCATTGCTTATTAGCTACAGTGGATACAGTGGATTTCGTTCAATGTGGACACGTTGGGACCAGTTACATTTGCCCACATTAAGCGGTTGCCCATTTTAACCAAAACGAGTATCGTTACACATTAGAATCTGGGCCACACCATTATTATGCTTATATATTATAGGCGACTGCTCACTTTAACCGGTGATCATCCACTGAATATTTAATTCAGTGACGCAACCAGGAATAAGGATTTGAGAACTATAACCCCGCTCCCTCTTTCCCCTACAAGAAATCGGACATTTTATAATTTCTAAATAGTATTATTATATAAATATAACAATAGTTGCATAATTTTTGTCGTGCAATTTCAGACATTTCCTTGTGATTTTGAATTCGTGTAGATACGTGACGCAGGTACATCATCACTTCACTGATTTAGTAGGTAAATATTATTATCCCGAAAACACGTCCAGAAATTTGTTTGAAATGCACAACCCGAAAATGAATCCTGGTTGTGCACTTGTGCCGCTGATATAATCTAACAACCTATATAGATAGGTATATAACTGCAGCTGATGTCATTTTACGAGATCAATGCGTTGTTTCCGGACGTCGCGGGCATATTGTATAATGTATATAATGGTATTAAGTGCACGTACACATACACTTATCGTATAAATTTAAAAAAAAAAAAAAAGTTTTATAACTTTCCACGAAATAAACTAGGAGATGCATAGTGTTTGAAATATATTTCAGCTCTAGATAATATCAGTTCAGTTCGGGTTGACGAAGACGTTCCATTTCGTGCACAATATTTATTGTTGTTTCGTCATAATAAAATAATATTATTCACGGAACGTTTCTGCCGTCGTCGTGTTTCGTCTTTTGTACCGGTTTTATTATTATTATTCTTTTTTATTGTCTTCTCCATTATTATATTCGTTTGATAATATAATAATTGTAACATTATATTCCATTTTATTTCGTGTACGATTTCCATATAAGTTTTTTTTTTTCTCGAGAACAATATATTATTATACAAAACTGGAATTGCCGGATGTAGGTATGTTTGCAGCGCTGCTTTTGTTATTGACACTTTGTCATAGGGTAACCTAGCTAACTTGCGTAACCATCTGAGCAATATTAGATACGTTATCCGAAATACCAACTAGTTTTTCAGAATGAAAACGATTTGGCATATTTTCGGTGTTAAGGTCCATATTATATTGGTCGTCTCAAACAGTTATTACAAAAGACAAATTTTCATAATATTAAATAATTTAATAGGATCATCATCATCATCGACTAATCTGTCTCAAACCAGACGAAGTGTCTCGTGAACCCGTAAACGAAAAAATGTCCGTTTCTTTTTTAACTAAACAATTAATTGACCTAGTAAAATTTTTAAAAAACTGTGGCTTTTTACAATTTAATTATTATTTTTACCCAAGTAAAATAATGAAAAAACGGACATACTTCGCAGGTGAGATGCAGTCACTGTTGTAGGTGAGAAGTTGAGAAGGTAGTAGACAGTAGTAGGGAAATTTGATGTATATTCGTAAGCAACGATAAATGACGATAAATAAATCGAAAAATGACCTCTAAAGTATCTCCCCAGTCAAATTTCCTTTTAGAAAAGTTGTTACGCTTAAAAATCTGAGTAAGATTTCTGGAAGTTTCCCGTGTCGTTCTAAGGACCACAAGCACCGCGGGACCCCGAACACGGAGCCTCGCGTACCAATAGATTAGGGCCAAGCGCCACCCGTCCCCCGCCGTTGGTACGGCCGCAGCCTACCCCACTGCTTTCCGTTTTTGGTCACGGACAACCTTCGGTGTGGTGTTAGCCCGCCGATAGACTGAGTAGGCTCCAGAAAGATATCCCGGTTCGCAGCCGCGGCTGCTTGCGAGGCCGTTCGACCTAGAGCTTTCCTCGAGTCAGCATGACCGATAACCACATAGTCACTCCAGTGACAGCCACCACGAAACCATTCCGCCGTCGGCCAAGACCGGAAGCCGGCCGTCGTGACGGGCCGCCACCCCGAGATGCTCGAGGCAGCGTGGGCTCCCGCCATCCCGCGGTACCAGCCTTAGCATCGCTGGTGGGATGCTCGACCGGGAGCATCGTCAGGTTTTAGCCTTCCGCTGTCGGTCTTCCCGGATTGAGGAGGCGTCCCCGAGCTCTGGGTAGGCTCTTACACGGAGCGCTCGCTCGTGTTTTTGCCCATTAGTCGCCTTCTACGATATCAAGCGGGGCTTACTGTTGCCACCATTCTACTCCCCGGGCAACAGGGAGATTTCAACTGCCAATCAGAAACTATTTTCAGTTTTCAGGTACGTGACTATAGCAAAATTAATGTCATAATCTATTCACCGTAAGTTGACCGGTTTCCGCGCATGTTAACTGAGCCGCCGTGATATGTGATTGGTCGGTAGTGTTCGACGAGCGTCGTTGCTCGTTGCCGCCGCGACCGTGCATACAGAAGGGTTTATTTTTAGAGGTTTTCGTGAAGCGAGTGAGTCAACTTACAGTGAATACTGAATAGAGTATATTGAACTTAATAATAGAGAATAGAGTAATAGACTATGGTCAGGTGCGTTCATGGTAAAAATTATGTGATTAAATTATATATATATAAGGAATTTGAAAAAAAATAAAAAGAACCACTTTGAATTCTCTACTTTCCATATAAGTTAATGTAACTATTTTATTAATTGGCTAAAAGTTTAGCGTTAAATTGAATACTAATTAATATGCATAAATTAACGCGATTTCACATAAAACCAGTTGGCCGCATTCGTGTACAATAACGTGTTTCGTCGCATACCGACAACGCTATCTATTAACCAGGACGAAACCTTTTATTTTGTATAATATAATCTTACTATTATTAAATCAATGGTAGGTACCACGAATTAAGATATACCTTAATTATATCTTAAATATCTTAATTCGTGGTAGGTACCTACATTATATTTTCGGGAACGCATAAAACACAAGAAAATATTACATAGAAACGCAGTGACGTAACTAGAAATAAGCTAAATAGGTGGCTGCCTATAAGATATAGCAAATAAAGGGGGCACATAAAAATATAATCTTAAAAATGCATTTTGTTTTGAAAATTTTAACACATCTAGAAAAAGCAAATACCTATAAGTTTTCTGTCAAAATGTCAAGTCTTATATTTTCAACTGAATTTACATTACAACATTTAAAATAAGAAAATAATTATTTTAGTAGGTACCTACATTTTTTCGTTTTTTCTACGAATTCGGTTTCGCTCAATTATTAAAAAAACTACAAAAAAAATGTCTTATTTTTTAGTCACCAACAAGATTCAAAATTCAACAAAAAAGATATCTATTTGCTTTTCTATCGGAGCGATGGTTTAGTTAGAAAACGGAAAGCGTAAAAATTTAAAATAAAAAAATCCTAACGCCGTAAAGTTATCAGTTTTCACTAGTATTTTTCAAAAATCGTTTTCCGACTTTTTTCAATCAATACGAAACCAACTTGGAACAACTAGTTAAAATTTCCTTTCAGAAAAAGTACTACACTCTTTACATCAGAGTAAGATATCTTTTCTAAAATTTGTTTACAGGTAAAAAAAATAATAAATAAATAAATAATACATATTATAGTAAAACCAATAGGTCCTTTGCTACAATCCGAACCTAAAACGCGTGACTGGGCGTAAGTGCTGTTACGATTTTATGGCGCTACGATGGTCGATTTAAAATATTGAAAACATAGTATCAATAATTGATCAACTACGGAGCTAACATCATACCGGTTGAACGTTTCCCGCCAAATCAATTGTGTACCACAAGCGTGGTAGTGCACTAGTAACTATTGTGTTACGTGACGTCGTTATAATAGCAGTACTAGTGTTCACGGATTATACTCATGCAACAGGCTAAAATTCGTTTTAAACTTTTTTGATTTTATTTTCTTCGTATTTGTATCGTAAATTCAAAACAATCGTTCGAAGAACGTCACACAAGCAAAATGTCTGATGTAAGTACTTAAACATAGAACATTGCGCTTAAATATAAACCTAACACTAGTAACAATGTTATAAAATCATTAATTGTTTTGTTTCTTTTAGAGAGATCTTAGTAGTCCCGAACCTTTCGAAGAGGTTGACTTCGATGCAGCAGGCACTTCACCAGTACGAAATTTTGATGACGAAGTGCTGAGTGAAGGTGATCCGCTAAGTTTGAGTCAATTCGATGATCCAGAAGAAGAAGATGGAGAAGAACTATTTGGCGATAATTTAGAAAGGTATAAGTTATAGAAAATTAAATCAGTTATATTGTTTGTATAGTTGCATAAATAGGCCCTTTAATATTTATTTAAATGTTGTGAAATAAGCGCTTAAAATATTCAAAAATCCACTTTATTATTAATTCGAGCAGACAAAAAAACAATGTTATAGTTAGTACCAAAACCCAATTAGTTCTAGACAATTCAGCGATAAATTCTATACCTAATCCATTTCCTATTTATTCTTTTAACAATTAATTATAATTTATATTTATTGGAAAATTCTAATTAAAAAATCTAATTATGACAAAATTGTAGTAAAGTTTTTTAAAATAAAATGTTCAATTTTACTTCTCTGTATCATAGAGTAAACTTTAAGCTTACTCTGTTAATTTTTAAGGATCTCTTAATAAATATGCAAATAATTGTAAACAGTTTCTTGGTTATAATTGATTGATTTACTTTGCAGGGATTATCGTCCAATAGCAGCTCTCGATCGATATGATGGTATGGAATTAGATGACGATGACTATGATGCTATGAGTCCAGGTACTAGGGCCGCTGCTGAAAGGGAATTACAAAGACGTGACCGAGAAGAAGGAACAGGCCGAAGAGATGCTGATGGCATACTTTATGGTTTGTAATACCCTCAATTCATACATTTTCCATGATATGATATTTCATTTAATGTTTTATTCTAGATGAACATGATGATGATGAGGCTTCAAGAAAAAAACGCCGAATGGCAGAAAGAGCAGCTGCTGGTTTTATTGTTGATGACGAGCAAGATGAAGAAGTATTATTTTTATACTTATTTAATAAATAAATTTATTTAATATTGTTATTTTGTTTCTTGTAGATGATAGAGTCCATTGAAAATTTACAAGATACTAAAGGACACACAGTTTCCGAATGGGTTACCATGTTAGGGCCAAAGACTGAAATCGCAAATCGTTTCAAAAACTTCTTGCGCAATGATGTTTCTTCAAATGGTGCTCATATTTACAAAGATAAAATCAGAAGGATGTGTGAGAGTAATTTATGCAGCTTAGAAGTGGAATTTACCAATTTGGCCAATAAACAACATACACTGGCATTATTTTTGCCAGAAGCACCTTCGGAAATGTTAACTATATTCAATGCGGTTGCTAAAGACTTGGTCCTTTCCATGTATCCTCAATATGGAAGAGTTACTGCTGAAATATTTGTACGAATAACCGATTTACCCCTTATTGAAGAAATTAGTACCTTCAAGTAATTGTTATTAATTATAAAATATACTTTAAAAAAAAAGTAATTACAAATGTATTTTTTAGGAAGATTCATTTGAATCAGTTAGTCAGAACTTGTGGTGTAGTAACTGCTACTACAGGTGTATTACCTCAGCTTAGTATAATTAAATATGATTGTTCAAAATGTGGTCATGTTTTGGGGCCATTTGTACAATCTCAAAGTCAAGAAATTAAGCCTGGGTCATGTCCTGAATGTCAGAGTACTGGACCATTTATGGTGAGTTAAATAAACTAGTTTTTTCTAATCATCTGTACATATTAACATACATTATTATTTTAGGTTAATATGGAGCAAACTTTATATAGAAATTACCAAAAGATTACTATACAAGAATCTCCAGGCAGTATACCACCTGGGCGTATACCACGAAGCAAAGACTGTGTCCTATTGGCTGATCTATGTGATCAATGCAAACCTGGCGATGAGATAGATGTAACTGGAATTTATTCTAATAGTTATGAAGGGTCTTTGAATACAGGCAATGGATTTCCAGTATTTGCTACTGTTATCATGGCCAATTATTTAATTGTTAAAGATAATAAACACATAGTTGATTTTCTTACTGATGAAGATGTTTCACAAATTTTAAAATTGTCCAAAGACCATAAAATCGGTGATCGTATTGCTGCATCCATTGCCCCATCCATTTACGGACATGATTATATCAAAAAAAGTTTAGCATTGGCATTGTTTGGTGGTGAACCAAAGAATCCCGGTTTGTTTCATTTTAATTTTTAAATTTTTAATGAATTATTACTGATAGAATTAAATATTAATTGTTTTAACACATAGTTTTTAAAATATATAATAACATTAAAATATTATAGTAGTTTTAATTTTTTTTTTTTTTTTGTTATAGGCGAAAAACATAAACTTCGTGGAGATATAAATTTGTTAATGTGTGGAGATCCAGGAACTGCCAAATCTCAATTCTTAAAGTATGTCGAAAAAATTGCTCCACGTGCAATTTTTACTACTGGACAGGGTGCTTCTGCGGTTGGTCTTACAGCTTATGTCAAACGTGATCATCAGAGCAAGGAATGGACTCTAGAAGCTGGTGCTTTAGTTTTGGCTGATAAAGGAATCTGTATTATTGATGAATTTGATAAAGTATGTTCAATTATTTGTTATGATTAATGTCTTTGTATAATCTTAAAGTTAATTATATTTAGATGAACGATCAAGACCGGACTTCAATTCATGAAGCTATGGAACAGCAGAGTATTTCTATATCTAAAGCTGGTATTGTGACTTCATTACAAGCTAGGTGTTCTGTAATGGCTGCAGCTAACCCAATTGGTGGTCGTTATGATCCAGCTATGACTTTTTCAGAAAATGTTAGTATAAATCTAACTTTAATTTTTTAAAGTAAATAAATTGTGTTAATAAATATAAAATTAATTTTGTAGGTTAATTTATCAGAACCTATTATGTCAAGGTTTGACATATTATGTGTTGTACGAGATGAAGTTGATCAAGCTAAAGACAAACACCTTGCAACATTTGTGGTACAGTCACATATGCGTAGTCATCCTCTGAATAAAGATAATAAATGTGAATTGAGAAATCCATTTTCCACTACTGACTTGGAACCAATACCTCAAGATTTGTTGAAAAAATATATTGTCTATTCTAAGCAAAATATTCATCCTAAACTGCATCGTATGGACCAAGACAAAGTAGCTAAAATGTATAGTCAACTGCGACAAGAATCTATGGTATACAAAGCATATTATGATAATTTTGTTAGTCCAATATTATACAAAAATGTATTTAATTTAGATGACTGGAAGTTTACCTATTACAGTCCGTCATATTGAAAGTATGATTCGTATGGCAGAAGCTAATGCTAAAATGCATTTAAGGGATTATGTCCAAGAAGACGATGTTAACATGGCTATACGTATAATGTTAGAATCATTTATTGAAACTCAAAAATACAGTGTTATGAAAACAATGAGAAAAGTAAATCAATTAATTTTAAGGTTTGCTTATCTTATAAAATATAAAAACTTCTTTTTTTCTAAAATATATAGACATTCCAAAAGTACTTATCATTCAAAAAAGATACCACGGAACTTTTGTACTTTATATTACATCAAATGGCTACTGATCAACTGGCTTACATTAGAGGTATACATGGTGTTACAGTTAACTCAATTGAAATACATGAAAAAGATTTCAAAGATAAAGTAAGCTATTTATTTTCTACAATTATTTCAACGGTTTGACTTACTATATACTTTTTTTAGGTAAAACAGATAGATGTACATGATTTGAGACCATTTTACGAAAGCAAATTGTTTAAAAATAACAATTTTGTGTATGACGAAAAGAGGCACATAATTACACAAACATTACTACTCGGTGAATAAATATAATTAATTGTTCATAGTAAGTACACTCTTAATAATAATTTTGTTGTAAAATGTTGTTTATGAATTCAGTGTAATAAATTGTATTATTTGCATGAATCTAAAAATAAGATATAAGTCAATGACCACTTATATGTGTATATTTATATGCCTGTATGTGTCACTAAAACATCAGGCAAGTTTTATTTGTGTAACAGATGTATTTAAAAGCTATTTTTTTAATTTTCAAAATGTTATAATTTTTTGCTAATAATCTGTACTATACTATATTTTAAACTGACCAGATGTTGTACTAATATTGTATACTTATTTGAATCATAATATTAAAGTTATATTCTTAATCCAATCTTTTAAAATAAATAATATATATTTTTTATGCAAACTATATAATTATTTTTGAAAGTAATTTTTATATTCTTAATTCTTCATATTAATTTAGTTTTTATTGTCATACACCTAAAGTAATTTCGTGTAACATATAAATTTAATGTTCTTATTATATGATCGTCAACCACATAAGAAGACCGTGAAGTTGTTAGGTACGTGGAATTGTATTGTGTCTGTACATTATGAAGACAAGAATTGGTCGAGTAGGAAAGAAAGGAATAAAATAAAAAATGTATGTTTGATGTTGTTAATTTACATTTATTAGAAACAAACAAATTATCTTATCTGTAGGTCCAGGAATATATTATATGGGCTTAAAATTAATAAACAAAGAAAATCTATAGTATAGTCAGCAAATATACAAAATATAACTACATACCCTAAATAAAATATAAAAATGTACCTACTCAATAACTTAAAAGATAATTAATAGGTACTGAATTATTTTTAGAACATTATCATTAGTCAATGTCTACATAGAATTAACGTCATCATTATTTGATCATATAATGTGGTTGTTATTTTGCTTAAGCTGATATGTTATGCACTTGGCCACTGAATAGTGTGGTTTGCGTTATACGGTTAATAATGTAAAATACAAAAGGCCGGTTTACATTCATGGTCACTTTCTTCAATTCTGGTATGCAACTTAAAGTCATGACATTTGCAACTGAAATATAAATGTTGTATTATTATTTGTGCTTACAAAATAATGCCACTGCTTTGAGATGAATTATGTTGTATTATATTATATCACATTAATATACTACACACGAATATCATGGAAAACATATTGCAATAAAACAGGGGGTTATTTCACTAATTATTGTAATGTACTTCTTTATGTGTATAATAACAATATTGATATTTGTTATATTATTAATATTATGACCAATACCAATATAAAGTGGTTATGAAGGCTTAAAAATATATTGCATAAATACTGTGTGCGAATTGAAAAGTTGTAAAATGTGTTGGTAGAATAGGCCCCTACTCTGTCGTAGAAAGTTTTCCTCGACAATATAAATCCTAAAGCAGTCATATTATTTTGTAGTTATTGTTGGCAAACCACCAAATTATTATATTAATTTTTACAGTAAGTACTTAGTACATATTAGTAGAATACATATTATAATAGATTATTTTTTAGTTAAAATAACAAGATATAGCAGTGGCTGAAAAGGAGTGGGAAATGGCATTCTTTCGTTTAGCTTATATTTTTCATCCAAAAATGTCTAAAAATAAGTACCATGTTAAGCAAAGCATGATAACTACCTAAGGAATATTTGTATACATTTTGAATAAAGAAATTTTTATTAAATTTTATTTTGACTGTTAAATGTACCAAAGTATAAAATTTAAACATATTTAAAAAACCCAAAATATCAGATTATCATTGATAATAAAATGTATGATTAAATATTAAACAAATTTAAATACTATAACATTGTTGTGAAAAGTTTTATAAAAATACCTGTAACTGCGCTAGCTATCGATCCTTTTTCGTTAATTTCCACTGTTACTTTATGTGTAATGTCTTTAACATGTATATTCTTTTTGGGATCAAATATTGATGATATATTTGCATTCCATTCAAATATTGAAATTAATCCCATCTTATTCATACAAATAATTTTAAATATTAATCATTATTAAAACATTTGTATTTAATCTAATGTTTTAATATTAGTCTGGATATTTTACAATGTAAAAAAGTTAAAATGGTACACAAATGTGCGTTTACAACATTTCCAAATTATTTGTAATAATATATATTATTCAGAAATAGTTCTCTTTGACGGTTTGTTCAGTGTATAGAATTGAATGAAAAAAAAATTAAAACTTATCTCCCAGTGACTTCTTGTTTCTATCCCCTTCCCTATTATAATTAACTGTTACCAGAAATTTATTTTTTTTAAAGAACGTGCTTTCTTGTCCATGATAACCAAATTATGTAAATTTATAAATTATAATTTTTTCACCCATATCACCAAGGATATGAACAAAAATAATTTAATTTTTGTTCTAAACAACCTAAAAACCTTGTGGATTAGTTGATGGATATTTGCTTCGAGGTTTTCAGAGTTGTTCATCTGCCTATGTACACATTTTTATACCTATGTATGCGATACATTCACTTGTGGATCACACACAAACAAGTGTAGTATTTAAAGTGTTGAAACCAGAGAATTTTTCTAGAGGGGGAGGGCACTAACAATTATGGTAATGACTTTTTTTTTTGATTATCTACCCTCTTAATTAAATTTGTTTTATTATTTAATTAATTTATCCACATTTAAGGGGGGAGCCAACACCCCCCTGTCATACCTGAATTCAACACGACATACTTTTTATTGTTATAGATGAAATATTTTGACATATAAATAAAAACAAACAATCATTCTTTATATGATAGGTGGGAAGTTGGAAAGGTATGTAACAATTAATTTTTGCTAATGAAAAACGATTATGAGCCTAGTTAAATTATACATATTTGGAAAAACAGTAATATTTACGATTTGGAAATAATACTTTTTGCAAATTTTCCTGTTTATTATGAAAACCTCTGAGTAAATCGAAAAATAACCTCCCCAGAGTACCAGCCCAGTCAAATTTCCTTTTTAGATAAAGTGCTGCACTTGAAAATTGGAGCAAAATATCTGGTAGGAAACTGTTTATAGAAAAATAAATATCTTTGTAAAATCAATATATTCCTTACTCCGTTTAGAATCTAAAATAGTTATATGTGAGTTCAAACATTTTTCTAACCATTTAAAAAACATATTTAATAACTAGTGAAATATTTAGTTACATAAAATCTGGAAGATCTGTATAAACGCACATTCATACAAACTGATAATTTATATATAATTATATGGGCATTGATACAATAATAATTTTTTATTTCACTTTTAAATCAAAATTATTGTATACTCACCTTTTTAAGAACAGTTGACAATTTTGTCGAATAATCAATTTTGAACCGTGGCAAGTACAAGTCAACATGATTTTGTTCTAATGAATTTAATATCATGGATAGATTATTGTGTTGTAAATTTTTCACTAATTGTAATAATGAAATATCTTCATCAGGTAGTATAACAATCATAGAAAAATTTTCATCCTATAAATAAATTTACAGCAAGGGTACATGTAATAATTTCACATTTAATTTATTCATTTGTTAGTATTTAAATGAAACCTACATTGAAATATTAACTGGTTAATCATGTTGAAATTATTTATTAACAATTTTATTATAATGCAAATTAAATTGCAATCAATTGTAAGGAATTCATTTGATAAAAAATTGTTATCGACATTTTTTAACATTTTTAAAACAATAAATTATTGTTATACTTTTTTTTATACCATTTTAGGTATTGGTATTTGAGGAGTCAAACTGATTGTTTAATATACTTATTATCTACTGGTAATAATGAAATATTGTGTAGCCTTATAAAACAAATGAACTTTTGGTACTTATATAATTTTATATAAATAAATAAGTAAAGCTTTAAAAAAAATATATATATATATAAATCATATTTACTTAGAATGCAATAATATTTTTGAAATATGTACTCGGTTAATTAATTTTATAACTAGTTTTATAGCAAGTTTTTATTAAGAAAAATGAAAACTCAAAATAAAATTGTATAATTTATAATTTAAAAAATAATATTACCTTGTAAACTAGTTCAACAGCTTGAGCATTAATATTTATTATGTATCCATGTTTTAGTTTATATTCTAAATTCATCATATTGACATTCGTACATAATTTTTGTTTTGTGTAAAAACACTGAGATTTAGTTTTACTTTCATTAAATTCCACTAACCAGTCACCTTTGAAATAAAGTACATTTGCCAATAAAAGTTCAGTAGTTCCATCAAAATCGTCTGCAACATGTCACTTCATAATTTAGTATAAAAACTTTAAACAATATGCAAATGGTTTATGTTTTATATACCTATGTTAATAACAATACTTATATACTGTTTAACAAAATATATATACTTGGTACTTCTAATAAAAATAATTTTTTAAATAATAAAATACCTAATAAATAAAATATAATTTTTACTACTTTTACCTGTAGTAAGAGATGATAAATGGGTTTATGTCAGGTTGATAGTCAATGTAAAATTCTGTCAAACAGTATGAAGAATACTAAACAAAGCCTTACTGGATTGTCTCATTTCAGATGTGCGCAGGAACAACGGGTAAGAGGAGGTGCCATAATGATGATGTTTGCACATGCTATAGCTTTGATAGAAGAAAATTTGAAATAAATTAACAATAGACTTGAGAAATGTATAGTAACAGTTGAAGGAAAGGAATAATGATAAGTAGAAGTAAAACGGAGTATAAATTGAAGGAATAGGGCATGGCAGTTAACGACAACAAGCAGTAATAGGCGAGATTGAGAGTTTTAAGTACCTACCTAGGATCTTTTGTACAACCGAATAGTGGCCTTTATGAGGGTTTGAAATATAGGATTGGATAAAGCAGAGAGATGCGTCAGATGTATTATGTGATAAGAGAATTCCAAGACTTAAAGGTAAGTTTTCCAAAAGTGTGGGCGAGACTTAATATTATGTGTATGGTCGGGAGTGTTAGATAGTAGATAGAAAAATAGGAAACAAGTGTAGCAGAGATGAGAATTCTTAGGTGCTTAATGAAGTGACAAACTGACCTCATATAGTTGAGATGAAGAACTTTTATATTTTAAAATAGATATTTTTACGCACCATTGGAAACAATATTGTTTATAAGTCCTTTTGTATCGGCTGATATTTTTTCATTAATTAATTTTATAGATTCATCAATATTTTGGAAATTAATTTCTGATATATAAGCTGAATAAAAATTATTCGCAATGTCTTTGAAATTAATAGATATATTGTGCTTGTTGTTCACAAAGATGTTATTAACAATTTTTAAGTTAATTGTGTCACTATTCATTGACAATTGATTTAAGTGTAATAATTTATGTAATTTTGATTGATCATTTGGTAAACGTAATATAGCTTTTAACTGTTCCAAAGTATGTCCATGTGCACCTTCTGATAATAATGATAGAATGTTCTTTATACTAGCTGGAGAAACTGCAAAATTTGAATTTAGTTGATTCAAACCAAGCTCCTATGAGAGAAAAAACAATTGCAAAATCAATAAATTCTGATTAAATAAAATTCATTGTTTACTAAATATTAGTTATTAGTAAATGTTTTAAATGGCTATTAAAAATGTTTGATTCCAAATTAAAACTTAAGAGAAATTTACTTGAAATAGTTCTGAGTCAAAATAAGTAAATGACGGCTGGAAGTTGTCAACACCCAAACAAATCTTCTCATTACCATCTTCCCACACATCTATAATGAAATATTTTAACACATTAAAATGTAAAAATAATACTTTTGGTTTTTATAAGTATAAATTTGGTTTCTATAATAATTATACATGAGGAGCCTTATGGGGCTAATAGATACTATGTGGATTAAGAATTTTGCATGTTTTTAAATTGTATAATTACGTTTTATTTGAGTTTGATTTGGGGTGTTAGTCTGTGGAATAGAAACTATTGGAGAACCATGTGAAAGAGGATTTGTCACTTTTCCAACAAATGCAATTGTATCACTTGTAATATCTTCTATCAAGAATAAAAACGGTCTCTTAACTTCAAAAACAGCTTCAATTGGTGTTCCAAATCTGCTGTCTAAATCGACTTCTATAATTAAATTTATTAATTATTAATTTAATTCAAATTTCATATAAGTATTTAATCTAACCATTAATCAAAACAAACCAGTAACAACATGTGCAGTACTTCCTTGTTCATTTACTTCAAGTCCTGCTTTTTGGAGTACATTAGATACCTTGAGATTGCCTAATGGACCACTTCCCAAATTTGTCAAATTTGATTTTGCTCCAAACATATCAGTAATTCCTAACTATTAATTAGTTTAAATAAAATATCTAGTCAAGTAATTAATCAAGTAATGTATTAAACTTGTACTTTCATACTATTAATTTATATAAAAGTAAAAAACTTTGATCAACTTACAGTTGATTGATAAATAGGTAGGTAATTTTTTTGGGATTAGTTAAATTGTTTAACTCAATTACATACCTAACACTAAAAAATAATTATACTGAACCTTTTGTAAAATTGGTCCAAGAACTGATGTATACTCAAAGTTAAACTTTGGTAAGATGACTTTTGTATTTAGTGTCTGCATATTTTTTATTGATTTACTTAATACCGAAGGATTAATTTTTTTAATCAAAACATCTAAGCCTTCTTTTGAATTTGGCAGTATAATATACATAACAAATTTGTTTCCCTATAAAATTATAATTAAAAACAAAATCACAATTTATTATAAACTATTCTCCAATTAATAAAACAATTTTTATATTTTACCTTATATGGCAAGGTAATTATTCGAGAATCGAGGGAATCTATTTTAGATATTTCAAACTTATCGATAACAGTCATTAATGGAACATCAACTGTAGTTTTTGAGTTTAAATAAAATTTGTCTACTTTGGTCAGATTTATATTAAATGGCGTTGTCCAATAGCCTTTGAAATATATGGCATTCAATAAGATAAGAAGAGTGTTTTCTTTAGTTTCCGCTAAAATTAACATACACAATTTTGTAATTACCTATTGAATCTAAAAACACTAGTAAACAATCATAATATTATATGTAGTTAGAAACTGACCTTCAGTTATTAAATTTTGGATATGTCCATGAGTAATGTTTTTTGCCCATTCATTTATTGAGTTAACTGCATCTTCAGATTGATTGAAATCAACTTCCTTATAGCTTGAATTATACCACTGATTAATAATTTCTAAAAATAAAATACTGGGATGTGCGCGTTTGTCTATAAATAATTTTGTACCAATTTCAAATTCATAATCATCTTTTTCATGACTCTAGAAATAAGTTTTAATTAGTTAATTAGGTACATTATAAATTAACAAAAATTTTAAACTTGATGCTTTTTTTAACAGATGAATAGGTAGGTAAAGAATAAACATAATACATAAATAATGTTTGGCATTATTTAATTTTATTAATGTGTGTGTCTTGAAATATTATTAACAATTATACGCAGTAGGGAGGAGAGTCACAAGTCACAACCAATATCTAAGGGATAAATAGAATTTTCATTATTTTAATATGCCGCATGACTCCAATCTATAATATCAATTATGTTCTCTAGAGCTTAGACCATATGTATATGATATATAATATTGTATATGATCTAAGTTCTAGAGTTACGCCCCCCTGAGGCACCCGTGTACATGGCGCTTATATTATAGAATGAAAAAAAAATAGAATTATATTTTAATAACAACACATTGGATGCTACCATCCTTAGGCCTTCACATTAGATTTTTAAAAATCTTAAAAAAATCACCATGAATACCTTCATTTAATTTATGACTTATGGGCCTATGAAAAATATGACCAATGTACATAAGCTTTGGGGGCCCATAAATAGATTTCGTCCCGGACCCCAAGAATTTTTGTTGTGACAACTAATCAGTTGATTGTTTTTTATTAGTTTATCACTAAAAGAAAATATATTTTAATACCTATACACAAAATATTTCATAAATTATTAGACCATGCACCTTTGTTTTGTTATTTTACTATAGTTATCTATGTTCTCAGTGGAAAAAAAAAAATTTTATATACAGAGTGTTACTGGTTATAATATCTATGTATAGGTTATAGATGTGTAGCAAGTACAGCAAGATTTTTATATGATATGATATGGGTACAGTTACCACGTTAAATCATTGAGTTACTTGTAACGATTGCAATTTTTGCGAATATGTAGTTCTATCGTTGGTTTTATTTCCAGAAAATCCAGCAACACGTCTTATCTGGTCTGATGTGTTTCCTAATGCTCCTTCATAAAGCATCAATAACATCAGTTTAACACTTATAGAAGATATGACAGCGTTATTCTTCTCGGCATCGTGCAGAGCCTATTCGTTCAAGAAAATGATTTATTTTAAGATTATTACTCCATTTCCGAACGCAGGATTTTACAATAGTAGGTAGGTTACCTACCTTACATAGGTTCCAATTAAAATTGTCAACTTCTGGTTTATATTTATAAATTGTTTTGTGTCTAGCGAACACGACTAATGTTAAACTGATAACAATACACATAAAAAAATAGCCTGAAACAAAAATCAAACGAGAATGTGACATAAATAAGTATAAGTATATGTTTAAATTTAACAACTTATGATTTATCTTTAGGTACTTAATACTTACTTTTCATTGTTTTCTAAAATTTGTGTTACTATTGGGAACAAATTATAAAGGTAGGTGGGTACATACACTTGAAATTATTATCAATTATAATGTGTATGTACTAAATGATCAGCAAAATACATTATTGCAAAGGCCATTTCATAATATTGAACCTCGGTATTGCATAGGTATCTTATCGGTGTTATAGTAGGTAAGGTTAATAAATTATTTTCATTACTATACTGAGTAATGATAATATACCTATTCAGTTTAAATTTTAAAAAAAAAATACAATTATCAAGAACATTTGTTGCATAACATTTGCCAGACACAAATCATTGTTCTTCAATAATAATTATCATATTTATTTATACAATTAGGTAGGTATTACCATTAATACCTACCTAGGTACTACCTATAATAAAATTAAAAATATCCATAATATTATTATTATTCGAGCTTCAGCTAAATTTATGTGGCCTATTTATGGCTGTTTGCAATGCATATTTTATTAATTATTTCAAACGAACGGAATGATGAGCGAATTGACGTAGCCGGGTTTCTCCTGTAACCTCTTTCAGGCGACGGCCATGAACCTGACACCTACCTGTTTTTTTTTAGCATTTTAATTACAATAATAATATAGTTTGATTATAAAATACCAGCTAGGTATGCGTTTATTATTGTAGGTAACACTTGTATTAGAGTGCAAACATCAGATAGATAGTAAACAGATCAATATTTACTTACTACTATAAAAAATTAATTTATACATAAAATAGACAGGGTTGATAAACAGTATGCAAAAAAAAAACCCTCCATTTAACACGTATTTTTTATTTTAAATAGTTTTAAACGCGCGGCATACAAACAATTGTTTTCTTCTACAAAAAACTTATTTAGATAATGTTTAAAACAGTTTTATACAAATTGATTCAATTTTTAATTTTTTTTTTTTTTTTTGCTTCATCAATATTAGTAGGTACCTGACTTTGGTCATTACTTGTAACAAGTTTTTATCAAGCTGCTATTTATTGGGTACCTGCCTAATATGCTATTGTTTTGATGTAGTACCTACAAATGTTTTTGTTTTTTTTTTCTTTCGTTTAATAGATTATACTAGCCTACCTATATTTAAAAAGTATAGGTAATCAATAATGTCCAATTGATTAATTTTAATTTCATTTATAAGTAATAATAAAAAGGTTGATATTGATAATAGAATTATTTAATTTAAATACACCATTGTTAACGATAAACGATTCTGAGTAGAGTATTATTATTTTTTCTTGTTGCCAAGGTATCTCAGAAATCAACAACAATTATTACAATTTAATACATTCAACCTACATCTAGTTGATGTATATAGATACATCAACTAGATCAAAAATGCTACAAGAAAGTTCCTATAAAGCTTTTGATTAGAGCAAGATATTTGTAAAAAGAGTTGTTTTGAGACAAAAGAAAAATCGCACACATAGTAAAACTAAAACCAATAAACCTATAAAAAAAAAAAATTTAAATATTTAATATATTTTAAAACTGTAAATGGATTTAGAGTTTGTTGTTCAAATACATTTAGAAACCGTGAGCTTTCCATACACGCAGAAATATGAGGTTTCCTAATTTGTTTTTGTTATACTTAATCTAGTTAAAAATAATAGTTGTTGAGGCTTGAAATTAGGTACATACTAGGTATATTAGGTATTAATAGCTTTTTAAATAGGTATCTACCAATTTTTTTTTCGTTAATTATCTATCTAAAATAATTTTATATTGACAATTTAAACATTTAAAATTTTGTGTGAAGTGAGAAATATATGAATATATATTTAATTTAAATATATATGATAGATACCTACCTATATTGTTTTTACAATGATCTATAATTATTATTATTTTTTTTTTAATTTTAAAATAGGGGGAGGTTGGTGTTCAAATTTCCCCTATTGCCTTTTTTTTGCATTCAGGTTACTGATAGATATTGGTTTTATTGAATTAAAAGCAAGTTTACTTCTGCAAGACCTCTAAAATATAATGTGTGGTCAAGAAATTATAATTTTGTGTTTTTGATCTTTGACCTTACTAATAATATTGATGATGTATTAATTAAAACAATTTATTTGTTATAATCCACTGTCCCGTGAAGTAATCATGCGCACGGGCATGCCGAACGGATATAAACAACAGAGTCATAAACTTATTTAAAAACCTAAGACAATACTGAAATAATGAAACCATTAATCCCGTATATATTCCCGATTTTTTGCATTTTTAAAAAAATTACAAGGGAAAATAATAAAAATGCCCACCCCAATAATGCACCGAGAAAAAAAAAATTACATTCAGAAAAGATTCTGCGCTCGAAAATCAGGGTGGCATTTCTAGTTGAAAAATCGTTACCTAACAGACAGAAAAAAAGTATGCATTGTATAATAGTAAAACCTAATACTTATACATAGTGTGTTAAATTAGTTGAGTAAAAAATAATAAATTCCTAGCGTAAATGTCAACGGCAATACCTCAGACGACTTGCATAATATTACCGATTGGTAGTTGTAGAAAAAAAAAAAATATATAGGTGTTGTATAATATATAAAGTAAATAGTATTGATACACCTATGCATACATAATAGTATAGGTAACCGCACAAAGAGTACGTAATGAGTTTCAATAATACCCAAGTTATCTCCGAAACTATTACTCCGTAGTCAATAAAATATTGTTAGGTACAGGTATCCATTTTTATCGAGACATCAAATACGTAGTTAAACTTCGAAAAAAGTTGAAAATCCTAAATCTAACATATTGTAATTTACGTACGAACGCGATTCAATAAATTGTTCAATAAAAATATTCCAGATGAAAACGACGATGTTAAAAGTGAGATGGGCAATATTAATAGTAGTCGAAAAGATATTCCTAATCGACGACTGTTCCAGGTATGTACGTTGTATTTTTTCGTAAGTCTTGCGACAAACGTGAGGACCAGTCCGATATCGGTTGATGAATATGAATTGACGACGGAGGAATCTTATTGGGAGAATTATGTGCCCTCAACCGCCACGTGAGTGAAAACTTTTATTTTTGACTTGTGACACTCGAGTCATCGTTTCGGCCGTGTCACCAATCTGTTTAAATAATGTGTTATGTTCGAAATAGATAAGATAATGAATAACAACACAAACACGGAACGCGTATATAAAACGTGCATAGACGTGCGCGATATTCGTGCAGGGAAAGCCAGTAATGTATTCAGTAGCGATGACAGACACTCGTAATTTTTTGTTTTTCTATAAAAGATTCAAAATTATGTACATCAAAAAAAGGTCATTGTCGTTTTTCTACTGCATCAATATTTCTGATAGGAAAACATTGTCCATGTCTATACAAATTTAAAATAATGAAATCGTTGTGCCGTAATTTGAAAAAAAAAATCGTATCTTTCTTTTTTTTAGTTTATCAAAATTATTAGAAAAAAAAATTACGAAATAATTAAACCGGGACTTCACATTGCCGTAAATATTAATCAATTTTAATTTTTTGATTTCACCCAATTATTATGATAAATACTTTAGATATCACAAAACTTTCTCTATCAGTTTGCCTGTAATTTTTTTCGGGGTTTTCTTAATTGATTCGAAAACCCATTGGAAAATCAAAAAAAAGGCGTCCCCAATGCACCAAATAGAGAAAATTGTCTTTCAGAAAAAGTACTATACTCTATACATCGGATAGCATGTAGTAATGATAACATTCAAAATAATATTATCGAATTTGTTTTTTGTGATCGAATAAAATTCAAACCGGCAAAATAGGGAAATCAATTCCATTTTTAAAAAAAATGTTATTTAAAGAATTTACCTGTTATAAAAAAAAAATATATATACAACTTTTTGTATCAAAAATATTACGTCTAGGAACATACTATTCCCACTGAATCTAATTTACATATTCGAAAACCATTTATGCGTATGATTTCTTTCGTTAGAATGACGCTCAAGCCACCTGCAGATGATGACAAGGAAATAGATAGTACCACTGAAACTGTGAATCATATCGAAATATTTGCAATGAAGAGTAATGAAGAATACACGAATGATGCGAGTTCTTCAATGACTCTGGTAACGGGTTATAGAGCCGAAACCTATGATTTTTCGAGTAGAGAGAATATTGCGTACACGGATGATCAGTATAATTCCTCAAATAGTTCAACTACCACAATAACTCCGGTAACGGATTATAAAGCCGAAACCTATGATTTTTCTAGTAAAGAGAATATTGCGTACATGGATGATCAGTATAATTCCTCAAATAGGTCAACTACCACATTAACTCCGGTAACGGATTATAAAGCCGAACCCTATGATTTTTCGAGTAGAGAGAATATTGTGCACACGGAGAACACTTATTCTACAATCATAATGATCATAATGAGGACACCTATGTGTATACCAGTGGACAATAAGACCGTTCATGGATAATAACAATAAGTCCTCTATAATAATTCACATATTTCAGTTTCATCTCAGACGGATTTTAAGTAAATATTGTTTATTTTTTTTACTAAATAAATATAAATACTAATTTTTTTTATCATTTTCGTTTCAATGTTTTTTTTAATTTAATTTAACGTAGTATAATTTAGTTTCATGTTATAGCTATGTTTCTTATTTACTAGTTACTTAATAATTTTAAGTTTTATTTTATTTACAAGTAATTATGACCTATTTAATATGTTTACAAATTAAAAGTCGTTTAATATGTAATATATCTATTAATAAAAACAACATTAATATTGTAAATTGAATACCATCCTAATCTTTATAACCTTTAGTTGTATTGTGTTGTTAGAAAATGCTTAAGTATAATTTAATTTTATCATGAATGTGTTAATTTTATTTGATCATATAATATATTATAATATTTTTTCAAAAACTATTCACTATAGTACTATACAGTATAGTTAGTAGTGGTATAGTAACTTTAGTTGTCAAATTTGGGTCTATATATCAGTCATGGTACTATTTGATACCACCCTGCGCCACCCTGTTAGTAACATTTCTTTCTGGAATATAACTCTAATGTACTCAATGTTACTGAGTCTTATTCAGCTTACGTAGATGGCCGCTATAGAATTTAGACCGGTACCCGTGTAGGTTATAAGGTGACTTTATTGTTGTTTGGTTAACTGGAGGATTTATATCTCGCTCAATTTCTTGAGTGTAATGTAATGAGGGCCATTTTCTAATGAGACCCCTTGAATATTATACTTTTTTTTTTTTCAATATTTCAGATAAAAACAGACGGACATAATTCACACGATGGGTGCAGCCACTGTTGTTGGTGAGAAGTTGGGAATGTAGGGTAATAGAGGGTAGATATATTAATTTGTATCTGTAAGCAACGAAAAACCATTGCTAACGAAAAATCGATTCTGAATAAAGTTCAGTTGATAGTGATGCTTTGTCAACAATATGTATGTCTTATTATAGTAAAATAATTAAATAGGCATTATATATTTTCTTTAATAATATTTGTTTAATATTATATCGATTTTCCCGTTTTTTCTACGTTTTAATTAACGTAGTTGATTAAAGAAATTATGCGGGAACTGACTTTTGGGTCACTCTGGATAAAATAATATTTTCAAGAAAGAAAAGCGAAGAGAAACGATGAATACATTGAATGTACTATGATGTATTTTTATTTATGTGTTTTTCTGTCTATAAACAAATTTTCTACCAGAAATCTTACACCGAAATCGGTGTTTACAAATAGAAATTGAATAATCTTATGTGTCTAACTTTCTCAACGCCTCATCTAAAACAGTGGTTACACCTATTCCCAGCATCACCCCTTTTTTATTTTACTTAGTAGTAACTTTTTTCGGAAGTTCTCTCAAATTTCAACTCTGGATCCGCCATTGCTCTCAACATATTAAATTATAGGGTTCCGGCATAAATAATGGTATTTCAATCTGTCTTTAACGGACGCGGACAGTAATATTTCTCTTCGTTGGCATGATAACGGACAATTTTACTTTAAAATAAAGAAAATAAACGAATTATACACCTGACTGTTATTTTATTATATCACTGAAAACGATAACATTTTGTGTGTGGTCAATATAGATAAAATATTAAATCTTATTTTATTAAATCGAAACCGTCATTCCGCACTGTTTATGACTTAGTTCAGAGTAGATTGTTTTTTCTTTGTAATAGTACCTTCTGTTCTGTGAACTGTTCTGAAATCGTTCACTTTTAAGTAAAAGTGGAAATTATTTGGTCTAGAGACACTAATGGTTTATCTGCTCGTTAATACGCTGAAAAATTTAGCATCCGTAAGTAACCGAATGAATTTTACTATAAAAATACTAAAACCTTTCTACAACAGATCCCTGTATAAAGCGGACATTTTTTAATGTTCCGTGAATGTCTATTAAAGGCAGCTGGTTTCACTGTATTGAAGTATTGACATTTTGATTTGTTTATTTTTACATTTCATACGTATTTACATAATATTATATAGGAGAAGCTATGTACATTTTGGTAAAATGTAATTTTTTTTTCCCAAAAAAAAAAAATGCTCAAAATTATCCACATCGCACCATAGAAGATGCGGATTTTTAAATCGACGTGGTGGTACTTTATTTGAAAGCATTTTCCTATATTCCCAACAGTTAAAAAAAAAAAAAAACTAAAAAATTATACTATATTTAATACCTTCTAAATTTTCTATCTACAATAGTGGTCACCCATGGTGCAGCGTGTATCCAAATAATTGTATTATTAATTGTAAGATTATTAAATTTTATTAATATATTGTTTAGAAGATAATATATATTTATAACTATTTATAAGTGTAACAATTATAATATCTGAACTGTGTAGCGAGTTATTTTATTTTTCGTGTTAATAAATATAAATCAATGTGGTTATTTCTATATAATCGCTAAATAACACTTGTATTATTTAAATTATTGTTATTTATGATATTGTTTAAAAAAAAATGATGATAACATTTCAATGTTATTTAATTCATTATTTTAGTTATAGTTTTTTTTCACTCGTTATATGTAATTATATGAACACCTAAGCAGAATGTTTTGATATCTTTAATGTGTTGTTATAACTATAATAATTATAGTTAATATATTAATTGTAAAATAAATTAATGCTAAATACAGTTAACATATTGAAGAGTGTCTGCATTTTAATTCATATAATTGTAAGTGGGTAAGTATTACACACTCAATTTTTTTTTCTTACCACTAAGTTCGACTCGCAATGATTTTCCTGTCAAATTTTCAAGCACTTCTGTTAAGTCTAACAATTTTATTTACAGAGTACCTACTTACTAAATACAAATTACTTAAAAATTCACAAAATTAAAATATATATAAATAGCTCGAAAAAAATGGTTCTAATATTTTGAAAACTTTACTTAATACTTTAATTGGACAACTCGCTCTACTAAAAAGTATTCTTTAAGCTGATTAGAACTTGTTTAAAAGTTTTTTACAGATACAAAAAAAAACTTGTATCATAGTAAAATGAGGAATGTATTTCTTTGATTTCTTTTTATGCTCAGAAACGAAAAAAATATAAAATATATATTTAGTAATATGTGAAAGGTACTTATGTATACTAAATAATATAGGATTTTTCACGAAGCTTTTGCAAAATCTCCTGAGATAGTCAAATTCTATTTTTTTATATCACTCGCAGGGATAGGAGTACAAATACTTATATATGGATTAAATGTTTATGTTTTGGTAAAAAAAAAATGTTTTATTTTATTATTTTTGAAAAATTTGAAAATAGTCATTTTATAATTGGCTTTTAAAATTATTAAAAACCACGAAATTAATGAAAATAATAAGTTGAAATGTTAACATTTTCAGAAGAATTATAACCTTATGAAATGACCGTCTTCAAATTTTTCATAAATAATAAAATAAAATGTTATTTTTACCAAAACACAAATAACTAATTGAAATATAAATATTTGTAGTTTTTATTCCGTAAGTAATAAAAAAAAAATAAAAAAAAAATCAATATTTAATTATCTTATTATTTTCGGAGATATTATAGATATATAATAAGTATAGTATCTTCGTGGGATTCTCAGTACATATAGTAGGTAACCATAATGTTCATAATATTATGTTATTAACGTTTACTGAGTTATCTACGAAATTATAGTTGTTAAATATTTGTCACCGTTTATTATAGTGACCTTAAACAATTAAATTTAACAAGTCTGTAATTATTGTGTAAGTAAATTCGTACGTTATTATGATGACGCTCAATGCATATTTTTTAATAATTTATTTAACCGTTCGACCGGCAAGAAAATACGCTGTGAAACATTATTTCAATACAATAATATATTATTATGTTACGCATTTTATGAAAAATAATAAAAAATCAAATATATTATTATAATTTACGATCGAATTGCGATCATTCAATATATCAACATGAAAACGGTGACGTTAAAAGTGAGATGGGCAATATTAATAGTAGTCGAAAAGATATTCCTAATCGACGACTGTTCCAGGTATGTACGTTGTATATTTTCGTAAGTCTTGCGACAAACGTGAGGACCAGTCCGATATCGGATGATGAGTATGAATTGACGACGGAGGAATCTTTTTGGGAGAATTATGTTCCCTCAACCACCACGTGAGTGAAAACTTTTATTTTTGACTTGTGACACTCGAGTCATCGTTTCGGCCGTGTCACCAATCTGTTTAAATAATGTGTTATGTTCGAAATAGATAAGATAATGAATAACAACACAAACACGGAACGCGTAATTAAAACGTGCATAGACGTGCGCGATATTCGTGCAGGGAAAGCCAGTAATGTATTCAGTAGCGATGACAGACACTCGTGTTTTTTTGTTTTTCTATAAGATTCAAAATTATGTACATCATAACTCTAGGTACCTACCTACTTATTTTTCTTCTTATTAACCATTTGAAAATAATTTTGAATTTTCGGCTTCCTTGTCTACCACGAGCTTATTCCAAGAATGTAGTGATACAAAATAATAATCTAAAGCGATTTTCATTTTCATTTTTTTTTTTTATTATTTTTTTTTTTTTGTACGCGCATTTATTTGATTTCTTTTTCAATTATTCCATTAATTTAGAAGATTAAACGAGTATTAAATGTTTTTGCCTGTTAAAAATCTTAGGTTTTCGTTTAACTATATTATTTATAGTTCTTATGTTTCACGAATTGTATAGAACTCAACTGCGGTGACGCGACCGGTAAACAAAAATTAAAAACTTGAGTGCTATTCAAACTCGCTAAAAGCGACATGCAAACTAATTTGTTAAATATATTTTATTATTTGTGTACAAATACAATGTAAAGGAAAAGTATACAATTTGGAGAATGTAGATTTTGTAGGTAATATTACTTATCTATTCGTTTTAATAAAAGTAGAAGTTTTTTTATCCATTAAGTATTACTTTCTATTCAATTTGATTTTGAAATGCATAATAAAGCCTTGGCTATATACATCAAAGTGCCACGGAAGTAGTACATGTTACTACTAATGTAATATTTGTATGTATCATAAACATATTTAAATAAAAACAAAACTGTAACTGATGCGAGAGCTACAAATTATACAATATTAGTTATTTAGTATCAAATTAAACATTAAACATTAAAGATATATGTTTTCGGTTTTCCAAATGTTCTCCAATTTTGTACGTTTTAACATTTTTTTTTTTTAGATTTTAATGACTACTTCTATTGCTCGACACCCATTTAGAGAGAAGCGGTATGACCGTTTTCGGTGCATACTAGTCGCCTCCCAAATGTGCGAAATGCCTCCTATCCTTATCGTAAATAGAAAGATTAACATACACTAGCTACCTCCGACGATTAGGTAGTTCATAATTATACACGAAATGCCTCCTAAAAATGTTTGTACTAATTCTCCCATTTTGAATAAAGTGGTGGTTCATAAACTAAACTGAATTTAATATAATATTTATAACTTTATTAAAAATAATAATTTAATTGGTCAATAAAAAAAACATGTACATGAACAGTACTTGTTCAGATAATGTTTATTATGGTTCAACTTATTTTCGTTCACTTTCGTCTATTTTTAAAACAGCTTTGCATATTTTTGTCGTACAGTTCCCCCGTTCTTTGTTGTAGGCTAACTTTTTTTGAAAACTATTAATTATTTTAACACGCTTGTTCTTTTCACTGATAATTTCCCGCATTTCAATTTGATCCATTCTAAAAACTTATTGTACAATTTAAAATCATTTAATAACTTTTTGTAAAAATAAAATCATATGACGAGTGTTGGAGCTTAGCTAACGAAAGTAGTCACAAGAGGTTTAATGTTTAATATTAGTCGTACAATCTTATCAATGCATAAAAGTCATAGATTAAGACTTTGAATGCATAAATCCAAAATCCAATGGTCGGTTATTAATAAGTAACAACCAACATAATATATCTTCATGATAAAAGATTTAAACAAATCTATATATCTATGCATACTGTTTGAAAAGTTTTGAATCGTTTGTGAACCACTTATACATTCATTACCTACCTATTGGGAGGCAACTAGTAGTAGACCCTTTTCGTTTACGATAAAGTTTAGGAGACGCCAGGAGGCGTATCCTATACTCGTATATACCTGGGAGGCAATTCGTATTAAAATTATCGACCTTTTTAACCTCGGGAGGTAACTAGTATGCGCCCGCCATAGAGTTAAACTCATTGTCAATATAATATGTTTCTATCATTTTACATTCTGAATACATTAAAAGATGTATTTGTTTTACTATGATGTGTGCGCATTTATTATTATTTTTTTTTTTTTTGAGCATACCGAGGAATGTGTTGATTTTTTCTATGTGTGCGATTTTTTTTTCTATCTATAAAGAACTTTTCTACTTTTTCTACTTGATCCAATCAAAAATTGGACTTATTAAAAATGACCACTGGGATTGATCTAGTCAACTCTCACTTTTCGTGAGGCCAACTATAGTTGCTTGAATTATAAAAGAACCCGAACATCAAAAAAATATAGGTTAGGTGAGTTAAAGTAAACACAATATTTTAATGATAAAACTACAAAATCAATATTAAACTATAATACAAATTATTGTTGAATAACATTGTTATTCAAATAATGTACATATCGATTAATTATTGTTTTTTTCAATTATATAATGGAATCCATACAATTTTATTTCAACACTATTTTCAGTTATTTACCGTTATTCTTTATATATTTTATACTCCTTAAGTATAATTATATTCTGAATGAGGAAACTCTTAATTTTCATATGCAAACACTCCCTTATAAACGCATATCACATAGAAAATATTTTTCTAAAATGTATGATATTCATAACAATAATATCGAATTTATTGTTCATGACCGATAATTTAGATCAGTGAAGTAGGGAAGGACAATAAAAATGAATTCCATTTTCAAAAAAATTCAAAATCGATTTGATAAAAAAAATGTTATTTGAAGAAATCACCAGCTAAAAAAATAGAAAAAATATATATTCACAACTTTTTGTATCAAAAATATTACGAATATAGGAACATATTATTTCCACTGAATCTAATTTATATATTCGAAAACCATTTATGCGTATGATTTCTTTCGTTAGAACGACGCCCAAGCCACCTGCAGATGATTACGAAGACACAGAAAGCACCACAGAAACAGTGAATCATGTTGAAATATTTGAAATGAAGAGTAATGAAGAATACACGAATAATACGAGTTCTTCAATGACTCCGGTAACGGATTATAAAGCCGAAACCTATGATTTTTCGAGTAGAGAGAATATTGCGTACAAGAATGATCAGTATAATTCCTCAAATAGTTCAACTACCACAATAACTTCGGTAACGGATTATAAAGCCGAAACCTATGATTTTTCTAGTAGAGAGAATATTGCGTACATGGATGATCAGTATAATTCCTCAAATAGTTCAACTACCACAATAACTCCGGTAACGGATTATAAAGCCGAAACCTATGATTGTACATGGAGAGAGAATATTGCGTACATGGATGATCAGTATAATTCCTCAAATAGTACAACTACCACACTCAAATAGTACAACTACCACAATAACTCCGGTAACGGATTATAAAACCGAAACCTATGATTTTTCGAGTATTGAGAATTTTTCGCGCACGGATAACACTAATTTTACAAACATAATGAGTACAATGCCTATGCCAATGGATAATAAGACAGAAAATATCAATAGTTTGAAGAGTGAAAAAACTTCTTACATGGATGATAACACTAATTTTTCCATGATTAATAAGTCTGAAGGCACCAATTTCTTTAAGAATTTTAGTTCTACAAGGGTTTCATCAGATTACAAAGTACTAAAATTCAGTTGTTCATGCAATAGAATTTATTCTCAAATGTATGACAGTTTAAAACTCTACATCTCAAATTTGCCAAGGATTTCGGATTACATAGGCAACTGTGTTTCCATTATTTTTTCCTCAGCTGAACAAATCATCAAACAAATTGTCAACGGTCAGTGTAATAATATTATTGTATATTTTATTGAACTATAGAAATTAACTAATCAATTTTTTTATATACATTACGTTCTTGGAAATTAAAAACTTACTGGTTTTATCGAATCTAAGTAGGCATTTAAACTCTATCAAATTTTACCCCAGAAAAAACTCAAATTTTATAGTATCAAATATTTGAGCTACGCAAGCTTAAAGATATATCATACCTATTTAGTTATTCTGTTGATTTGATAATAGGCAGATAGGAATATCAAGCCACTTAAATAAAAGCCAATACTATAGATACATAAAGCTTGTTGAATTTTGCAGGGAAAGTGATGTTATCTATTTCGCAATTCTTTTCGCTACTAAATGTCCGAATACCTTTTATGCATACACGTTTTAACATATTATGTATTTCTGAACAAATAGAGTACTAAATATATATTTCTAATAATACATTTTATTTTAGTGTATTATCTTCTGCTTCGTCTTATTCTCCATTCCAACTATTTGGGGTCGACAACACTCGCCTTAACTTCTACTTAATCTCATTTCCAATTTCGCATATACCGGTTGTCCCCATATCATTCACAATTGCATCCATCCAAATATTTTCGTTCTTCTCTTTTTTCTCAAAAATGTTTTTCATTACAACTTTTACTGCTTCAGATTACTTTTAGATTCTTAGCGGAGCGAGAAAGATATTGGTTTTACAATGATGTTTAATTTTTAATATCTTTGAATAACTTTTCTGGCATCAATTTTGCTCCGATTTTTAATTATTGCACTTTTTCTGAAATTAACTGACTGGGGTGATACTTTAAGGAGGTAAGTTTTCGATTTTCCCAAAATTTTTCCCAATAAATAGGAAAAACTGTGAAAAAACGGAAAAATGTACGAAATGTATTAGTCAAATATTACAGCTTTCTTTTTGTAAAAATTAAATCGGTGTCGTTGTGGTTGTGCCGTAAATATATGCAGTTTTTTCTATAATTTTGTTTCCAGGTTTTTCTAGTTATTTTGAAAACATCTTAAAAAATCAAAAAATAACCTTTTTAATACCGACAAGATAAATTTTGCTTTAAGAAAAGACGTTTCACTTGGTACAAGATTTGAACAAGATTTCGAAAAGTCGTTTATAGATAGAAAAAAAATAAAACACATAGTAAAACCAATATATTCCTTGTACGCTAGACTCTAACACTACTATAAAAGTGAAAAATTAATCAGATGTGTTGTACGTGCAAATTTTAATCATCAAAAACCAATAAGATTGTACCTTTATAATTTGAAATGGACTCGTGGTGCCTTTAGGACACCTCGGTGCATAGTTTTGGAACCACTTGTCTAATGTTTCATTTCCAAGCCTGCTCTATAGTATGGTGAAGTATACACTCAAGTTTTGACTTAACTGCAGTGTTTCATTACGGCCGGCTGTCCGGAACCATTTGCCAGTTTATTCAACAGTGTCCTTATTTGCCTGTTATAAAATCAGTGGGTATACACATTATATTACATTCTGGGTACCTATACAAGATCTTTTGAACTTCGTGTTATAGTCAAATATTCCAACAAATACTATAATTTTCAAAAAAACTATTTAGGAACATATTATATTCTAAAATGTTACATTGTCCTTATTCGTTTTATTCAGTTATTCTTATTTTCGGGGAATGAATTCACTACCCAGTTTTGATTTTCAAATAGCAACTTACACATTAAACATTTCACAAATAAATGAATTCATTCCGATATTTGACGATTAGACTACTCAAACACCGCGTGCCTCATCGCCACACAAATGATGCTTCATTATCATTTGACATTTTCTCTACTCCCTTTTACTCAAAGCTAAAAGTCGAATATATCGTCAACAAGTTAGTATAAATTAAATATGGTGAAGTGTAATATTATTAAATAAATGATTTTAACAAGTTATCGATAGTCATCGTTTTGAAGAATGAGTATTATTAATGTTACATGAATTTTAAGACTATAAAGATTAATAATTATTAATACAAGGAAGTTTCTATTTGTGTAAAATATACAACCGAATATATTGCACATAATATAGAGGTCTGAAATAAGCGAATGTAAAAGTCGGTAATCCGTGTACATCTCGAATCCGGATTACCGAAATTCAGTCCTTAATAGTTGGCTCACATACGATTTTTAGTATTTTTAATTATAAAATTACATATTTGTATTAATTAATTATAGGTTATCTTGGTGACATGGATGAAAAAACCAATTATTATTAGTCAATTTGGTTGTCTTGGCCTTTAGAGCAAGAAAATACCGTTGTTAAAAATTAAATTACCGAACAACAATGCGACGAGTCTCGGGGAAGGACTGAAATACATGATAGTGTCCCGGGAGGATACAGTTAGGGACACATTTTCTTTTTCGTTGAATATACTGTGTACACATAAAATCATGTAGGACAACCAGTTTTTAATTGTAACCATTACACTATACTATAATATAATTATGGACAATAATACAGTCCATTCAACATTCACGATACTATAGTGATTCTATACAGGTGTCCCATAAGGATATACGCATTGCAATATTTCCTGAGATAATAAAGATAAGCAATATTTTGTACTATTCACTTTGATAAGGGCTGTAAATATTTATATTTTAATTGCATTTTTATATTTTGATAAAAAAAATATCTAAAAACAAATAACTGGTTAATTATTGTCAAAAAATTTGAAAATATCCGTTTTATAAAATTAATTTTTCTGGAAATGTTGATGTTTCAACTTTATATTTTAATTAAATTCGTGATTTTTAATAATTGTTTAAACTTCAGAGAAAAATAACTAAAATTATAAAACAGCCTGTAATTCGCTAATTGATGATGATGATTATAATTGTTATGGCCCATTGTAACTTTTTTTTGGATTTAAAAATTATTAAAACTCATAAATTGTATGAAAATAAAAAGTTGGAACGTCAAAATTTCAAAAGAATAAACTTTGACTATTAAATTTTTCAAAAATAATAAAATAAAATAAAATTTTTTTTTAAACTAAACTCAAACTACTTATAAAAATTAGTAAAAATAGGTACAATATATTCATATTAATTTCTTTTATTTATTAATGTTCATTTTTAGATTCCGAGCGTAGCAAGAGAGCTATTGGTTTTACCAGGATGTTTATTTTTTTTTTTTTGTTCTAATCCGTGGACACGTTTTTTCTTAGTTTGCTCCGATTTTTAAGTGTAGCAATTTTTCTGAAAGTTCAAGTGATCTGGGTGGTACTTTAAAGAGGTCATTTTTTGATTTTCGACGCCATAAATAAAAGTATTTAAGTGGAAAGAACGTGGGAAATCGTACAATTTCACGATTTCATTATTTTATAATAACACGGACGTTGCCTACCAGAAAAAAATAATTTAATCGAAAAATCACAAAATACCCTTTTCGTTGCCTTTTTGATTTACTTTTTAACAGTATCAATGCCAAAACTTTTGAGAAATTTTAATTTTTGGTTAATTTTTTTTGTTGTACTTCAGTTATAAATACACGTAGAGACATGAAACTTGATAATAGTTATATTGGACTTACCTAGACGTGGTAAAATTTCCAAAATCATCGGACTTTTTTTCTAATAAGCGTTTTGAAATTAAATTTAAACGAAAATTTCAAACAAAAATCACGGCACTTCAAATTATGTATTATCGATTTGCGGTCGAAATCGTCTTTTGTCAAGCAATGGTTTATTGTTGCTTACAGATATAAATGAAATAACCTTATGTAACCTTCTCAACTTCGCAAATACAACAGTGGCCGTTCCCATCCCCTGTATCAATCTTTTTTTTTTTTAAATTTCATACTACTGTTATCCTTATCTGGTCAATTTTTTTTCTTTCAAATATGAATTACAGAAAATTACCTAATTTGATCGACTTTGGTGATAACCCATGTCTTCTTTTGGTAACGACTTGATCTACTTTTTATCGATTAACGTTGGTGTTTCTCGTTCTTTGTTAATGATTAACTGTTTAAATAAATACATATATTAACTCGAATATCGATAAAATTGGCTCAATATCGTTGTGCATCACTAGTATTTAATGCAATAAATAATGTCTTATCATACGAGTATAGCTGATTCAATTATTACTATTCTTATTTTTACTAAAATATTTTTTTGTTTTAGGACTCAATTTTAATTTCAAAATGAATTTTTTCCAATCATGACGAGGATATTCAAGCCTAGAAGCCCTGACTCCTGAGTACGTTAAATTAAAATTGTAATATGTGGGTACATGTTTAAGTGAATTTTCCAATAACTGATATGTTATCACTTAGAATTTGACTAATAGATAGGCTATGCCCATAATGGGTTGTGGGCTAAGATATAATTTATCACTCGACAGTTTTTTACACAATATTGAAGATATTGTTGAGATACAAAATTATTTAGAAGAATAATTTGTGATCAAAATAAATTTAATCATTGTAATTCGTAATAAATCTGTGTGACCTATAATTTTAAAATTATAAGAAAACATTGTTAAGTCAAAAATCAGAAAAAAGAACTTAATTGGAAAACATATTGTTGTGTATTAAATGTTCCAAATGACAAACATCACAATCTATAATAATATCTAAAGTAGTTACTAAAGAATATATTTATATATTTTAATTATAACTCTGTATTTTCAGTATTCTAATTACACCAAAGCTGAACAAAATGAATTGGAGCTACTCGTATTACAAGATAGAAAGTTTAACATGGAAATCAAATGAACCCTAAACATTATCCACTAACGCTATTTTAATATTCAATGAAAATATAATTTTCAACATTTTACAATTCAATGTAACATAGTAGTACTTATGTTATATAAGTATATTTTAGATTGTATATTTTCTATTGTTTACTGCAATATGACCGCAGTACCTAAACACGAATCACAATTTCTATTGCTGATTAAACACGCCAATAGAGCTAAATGTATTGAATTAATTATTTATATTAAATCAATTTAAAGTATTTTATACCAGTAAATAGATTGAACATAAACATCTTAAACAATACAAACCATATTAATGGTTTTTTACCCATGTTAAGTAATGCTGTTAAAATTTAATGCTTACTGATCGTACAGCAGTCAATTCTCTAATTTTTTTTAAACTCATTAGTTATTTTGTATTGATAATTGTTTCGTTTGTTGTTCATTTGAATTACTGAAATATTCAAAATTAAAACTATCATATGTGATATTTTAATGTAATTATTGTTCAAGTCAAGTCTGTTATTGAAACCTTTTTTTTTACAGTAAAAACAGAAGTCATAAAATTACACTAGGATGCCCGTTCGTATGCACACGTATATAAGACCTCATTTTTTCATAAATTTTGGTGAAAATGGTTTTATATGAACTTATTTTACATATCATATCAGCCGTAGTTTCAGTAGTAATGTCATACATTTTCAGGTGGTAAACATTTTTCTGAAGGTGGGGGGGGGGCGGGTAGTGACCACTCTCTCAATAAAACACTGATTTTGATACATGATCAATTAATGATAATATAGGTAAGTACCATAGTTATCTAGACAGTTTAGCATACGGAATATTATTGTTGAAGTGTTTATAGTTAACTTTACGAAATTTTCTACTAGATCAGTAAGATTTTTAAGAAATAAATAAGTTATGTTACCAACCACTAGGTGTAGGTTACTAAGAACCAAATTTGTATAAATATACTTCTGTTGAATACTGTGCAACTACTAAAAAAACTGTCAGTATAATATTATAAATAGGTATCTCTCTTTTAAGATTTATATTTTTAAGCCAAGATTATCCTCAAACCATAATATTTACAGAGATTATAATCTAAATAATATGCTTAATTAATTAGAAATTATTATTATTAGAAAAAAAGAAATTATCGAGAATTGATACTTACTAGATTAATTCATAATTTGTACATATTATGAAGTTCTGTATTGACTATTATTGGTTGAAAAATATTATTATTCTAAATACAAAAAAAAAAAAAAGATTAATAATTAAATAACAATTTTAAGTTTCAAAAATCATTAATAAACAAAAAAAAAAAAAATGTATTAAAGAAAAATTCTACATTATTTTATCTTTGGTTACAAAATAAATATTAGTTTAATCGTGGTTTAGTTTTGTAATTATTATTTTTAACTAAGATGGAAATTATAATTATCTAATAATTTCTATTGATAAATTAATGAGTTTAAAAATATATATATTTATACACCTATAAAAATAAATTTAAAATATATCATGAATTATAATTGATGTAACTATAGGAACTTTGTTCTTAGTTTTTTAATATGGTTAAACAATTCATCATCAGATGAAGCACATTCTTGTGCACAACGTTTGCATTCATTAAGAAATTTTTCTTTATCAATTTCAGTGATTTCCTGTAAAATATGCAAATTGAAAACAAAAAATTATAGTTTTTATACCTTCAGTATTTTTGTTACCTTTTGTTCTTCCGATGTTTTAGATGTTTCAAAACTCTCTAACAAAGCAAGTTTTTTTGCAGCATCCTAATAAATTTTAAATAATATATAAATTATTAAGAAAATAAAACATGAATGGCCATTAGACGAGTACTTGAATAACATTTTTCGGAAATTTGGCCATAGCAGCAACATGAATACCAAAACTCTTATCACATGAACCTGGTTGCACTTGATATAAAAGTGTTAGACTATCATTTGAAGTCACAGCAGAAACATGTTTATTCAATATTGTTGGTATAGTCTCATAAAGTTTTGTTAACTCATGGAAATGTGTTGCAAACAATGTAAATGCTTTGGTATCAGTTGCCAACCGTCTACAAAATAGTATTAGATTAAATTAGATTAGGTTTCAACAATTATTGACAACTGTATTATTAGTTGTGCAGTAGTGCTGTTACTATACATATAAAATTAGACTAAAAATGTATACTCACTCTGCTATAGCACAGGCAATACCACAACCCTCATAAGTTGACGTACCTCTACCTAACTCATCGATTATCACTAAAGAATCTGCTGTAGCTTTCTAGATAAAACATGTTTAATATATTATATACAATTAGATATTACTGATTTGTACTAAACATTTTAAGTTTCATACTTTTAGTATTGAAACAGTCTCAATCATTTCAACCATGAATGTAGATAACCCTTTAATCTGAGAATCATTTGCTCCAACTCTAGCCAAAATAGCATCAACTACACTAATTTCAGCACTGTCACATGGGACAAAACTTCCCACGTGTGCCATGAAAACTGCTACTGCTACACTCCTAATATAAGTACTTTTTCCACCCATGTTTGGGCCTGTTATTACATTGAATGTACATTTGTCTAAATAAAATGTATACATATTATTACACAATGAGATTATAAAAAAAAAAGCATAAATATTTAGAAATAATAAAATTAAATATTAACTTTGTTCAAAGTACGCATCATTAGGTATGTAAGACACAGAATCTTGGAGTTCAACACATGGATGCCTCATTTGTTTTAAGTCTAATAAACCAGTACCTTGAGGATGTAAAATCGGTCTTACATAGGGATGCAATGAACTAGCAGCCAGCATAGCAAAGCTTGTTAGAACGTCTAACTGTGCAAGTATTCGGCTTAAATTTAATAGGGTGGCACTGTAACTGCCTATTATTTCAAATAAACATGAATTATCATTAAAAAGTTACATGTAGTATTTATTACAAATTATTCATTACTAGCTGTTTGGATAACTTCGACTACAATAGATTTTTGATGTTCTAAATAGTTTTGATATATTGCTTGGTATTCTGTATTAAGCTCAGTAAGTTTAAAAGATCTAAAACGCATACCACCACCTTTTGTAGTATCGAGAACTTCGTAGGATTTATTGTTGGAGACAGTTTTACCATCCTAAATAATAAATTTAAAATAATAGATATTTATTTTTAAAGAAATAAACATAATCAAATAATATTACTTTTAAAGCCACTTTAAAGAAAAATCCATATTGAGAATTTGAATCCAATTTGACTGAAATTCCCAGTGCTCCAGAGGTTTTATTCAAGTTTGATTTCATTTTTGTTTCATATTCATTCATTTGATTTCTCATTTCTTGAAGTTCATCATCAAATCCAGATTGAATAAGAAACTCTCCGCGTTCAACTAGGTTAAAATCTATTGTTTCCTCAATCATAGCTTGATATTTATTCATATCATTAACTAATTCTTTTAATGGTGTAGTAATTATGCTTTTAAGAGTTTTATCATCTGAATTGCTCAATGTTTGCACAAGATCTGGAAGCTTTTGTAAAGCATGATAAATCCTAAAATATATTATCACACGATGTTCAAATGAATTTATTTTATTTTATCAAAGAATATATTCATTACCTATAACAGTCTTGTAAATTAGCTCTTTTGCGTTGAATTTTACGCATAAGAGCTTGTAGGTCGGGTATTGTGCGTAAATGTTGGTCATATAGTTGTTGACGTATATCTGTATTAGTAACCAGTGTTTCAACAATATCCAAACGTTCATTTATTTCATTCAAATCTCTTAATGGCTGTCTAATCCATTGAACTAATAACCTAAAAATTATGGTTTCAATATTAAGTTTTTTATATATATAGAGAGCAGGTAGAATTATATTTATAAAGAAAACCCAACTAACCTATGTCCATGTGGAGTGCGACATTTATCAAAAATTCCAAGAAGTGAGTCATGTTTTGACATAGTACCGGTATTGGAAAAAAGGTTAAGTGCTTGGACCCCAGCACTATCCAAATGAACAAATTTATTATACCCTAAATTTTCAACAGTGAATTGATTTAGATTATCCGAATCAGACGATAACTGAAATTAAATAATATTTGTTTAATAAAGTTATAATATAATTAAAATTGTTTTATTTACCTTAATAATTAATATAATACAGTTAATTTGTATAAATTTAAAATGATAACTTTTTAGAGTAGATTTTATTCTGACAATTAAATTGTCTACAAAAATTTTTTTTTTTTCAATTCAAATAATTATATTAATGAAATAAACATATTTTCTTAAACATTGATCAATTTTTAGATTTTTCAAAATATTTTGAAAGGTAAAACCAAATGTTTAATTAAAATAATGGCTATAATGGTTTATCAACAATATATATAAAGAATGGTTTATTGTTGCTTACAGGTATATATTAAATTACCTATACAGTGACGGTGCCCGTCCCTATTATCCTGGGACAACTATTTTAAACTTAGTTGTATTAACATCTAGTCCAATTAAAATGTTTGGTTTTTTTTTTTTTAAAAAATACAAGAATACTATTCAAACAAGCAATTATAATGTATATTTATTTTTTCTTAGGCATACCTTAACTAAATAAAAATTATTATGGCTCTGACGTTATATAGCTTGTAATATAATATAAAAATATCAGTTTCATAGAGAAATTAATAATTAAGTCTAATGGTTATCAGAAAAACCAGTATTCAATTTAAACTAATCAAGCATTTTGTAAAGTGTTAAAGTATTACATACTTCAAGGTACTTGATAACTGCTGCTATTGCTGCAGAGGAAATTTCCAGTTGTAACTGAGGCAATGTATGAGCATTAGGTTGTTGCCCTTCTTCAAACATAATTAACTTGTTTAAATCTTGTATCAATGTATCTGTACTGAAATCAGATTTCTTCCTCATAGTTACAAGTACTCCACAACGTTCTACTACTTTTTTTAATTGTTCTACATCGGGATTGATACCATCTGTCATAAGAATACACTCTTTAGGAGAAACTTTAATTACCATTGATTCAGTATGTGAAAAATATTCATCATCAGTGAATTCACTTAGTTGGAATTTATGTTCTACAGTATCTACTGCTCCTAACCCAATTATCTAAAATAAATATTAAGGTTGGTTAATAAATAATAATAATAATAACTTTTTATTAGACCACAATATCAATTATTTTAATGCAAATACCTTGTTGTTTTTAAAGTCTGAGCTTAACTTTAAAGCAATAACTATATTTGCTTCAATTTGTTCTATATTTCCAAACAACAGATCTTCAAACTGCGATAAATTACCAGGAGAACCCTATAAAAAAAAATAAAATAAATTGTACTTATGATATATTTTGAAAAGAAATGTATAAGTTATTATTAATTCTATACCTTGAAATCTAAAGCCCATTTCCCTCCTTTGTTGACAAATATTTCTACTCTGTAATGATTGACTAACAATAGTTGTTTTATATACGCTTCAAAGTTGGCTTTATTGAATATCAATGTTTCCAAAATATCATTATCTAAATTAATACCATAAAGAATAAAATTAATTACTTTAAAAATAAGTTATATTTAAGATTTATCTGTAATTAGCACTAGTAGAACGTCATAAAAATTAAATTAGTGTAGTTAAATAATAACAATAACTGTGTTGGGACACAGTTATAACAAGTATTTTTAATAAAGAAAAAATACATTTTTATAATTCAATTCAATTTATTTTATTTTTTTTACCCATCTAACCAAGGTAAATTAGAATTTTAAAAGAAAATCCAATGTCTTAATCAAATCTAAAATTTTATGAACATCTACAGTAATACTAATACAGTAATTGAAAGTTGAAAACCAGGCTTTCAGATATGATCTGCATACAGTACATTTAGCTATAATCGCAGACACAGGCACATAATTTTATTGAATACAAAAAATTATTTAATGTACCAACCCGATCCAATGTTTTTTATCAAATGGTTTGTTTTGTAAAAATCTTTAGCCGCAAAAGTAGCATCTTGGCCATGAACAGTGTAATAATCTTGTCGATTGAAAAACCGAACAGTCGTTAAAGGTTTCTAAAATAAAAAAACCCATACAAAAGTTCAAGGAGATATTAATTAATTCAAATGCATTTATCAGTTATTATTAATATTTGTAAATATATCATTTTTTTTTTTATGCATTATCTTTTAAAACTGGAACCAAGGTTTTATATTATTACATTTAAAGGCTAAATATACAGGCTTCATATTTAGGTACAGAATATTCTGAAAAGTAAGCATAATAATAAATGAACACAAGGGCATCATGTTAGGCTAGGTCACTAAGATCATATTTTACTTTATCATATAGAACTTTTTTCGGACAGACAAAACAATTACTAGAAATGGGAATTCCTTTTTAATTAGGGTACAAAGGCTTATATTTGTTTATATACTTATTATATTAATATATTTAGTTAATTTGATTGATAATGATTCATCTTTCAATAATACAATATGTATTAAACATATTTGTAAATAAACACGCATACCTACTAATATCATAAATAGTATAATAGAAATTTATTTGTGATGTAATAAAATGTTAAAATGTACACCAACATTTATGAAAACCCACAGAGTTATGATAATTGTCTTAATTCTTCATTTTAGTTGAATATAACAAAAATATAAGTAAACATTCTATACTGCATTGGCAATTCCTGTATAAAAGTACAGGCTGCCACCACATTGTGTGATTTTGTGACATCATGTGGCTATTTCTCTTGGGCTTTAGCGTCTCAGCAAATCCATAGAAATGACGTTGTTTCAAGCAAATCCAAATAAAAATTTAAAAAAAATTCGAAAATGTTAAATGCATGCAAATAGTTCAATAATTCTATCACGTCTAGATAAGGCCATTATAATATTAACATTCTTTACAAATTTGAAGTCCCTACTGTTATTTTATTAAGCGACTTACAAAAAAGGAAAATTAAAAATAATGAAACCATTATTTCTGTAAACTTTCTCGAGTTTTAAGAAAACCAAAGGGAAAAATCACAATACAACTTTCAAACTAGAAACTTTTTTTTAGATAGAATAATGTACTTGAATTTTAGAGCAAGGTTTTTGGTAAAAAAAACAACATTTTTGTAATATTGGTGTTAATGTGTCTGGTTTTTCTAGAACTTTTTTGTCCAGATTTCCCATTTATTATGGAAAATTATTGGAAATCAAAAATGATTTTGAATGCACCAGCTAGAGATTCAAAATACTACAAATTTTTTTTTTGTAATTATACATTGGAATGAGGTTTTTTTCACAGCACAAAAAAAATAAGCATACATATTGATGCATAATAATGCATTCTTGTTACATTAGGAATCTAGTGAATAAAAATACCTGTATCATAGAACAGATAAAATGTAAAAAATACAGCTGAGTAAAATTAATACTATTAAATATAATATGAAAGGTCAATAATATGAATTTTAAAACCTTAATTATATTAAAAGGTTTTAATAAATTTGCCATACTAAATAAGTAATGTGTACAACATTTTTAAATTAATAAATTACACTTTTTTTTTAAAATAAAAACAATAGGTGTATGATTAGATATTTAAAATAAGAAACACCTTATTTGCATTAACAATGAAATTGATTATGTATGAAATATAGTTCTGGGAAAAATATAGGGTTAAGGTTATCTGTAAATAATTCATGATCGTAATAATATAGATTTTCCATTTCTACAAAGTCCATAATTGTAATTTATCAAGTATTTATTCTATATCATATATAAATATTAGTGAGTTGCATAAATCCAAATCATTTATTTTATTTAACTCATTCACCAAGTTGAATTCAGTGCTGATAGGCTTTTGTGAATAGTGTTCAATAGTGCAACAAAAATATTTATAAATTAACAAGAAAATACAGTTTTATTGAAAAATGCAATCATCATTTAAAGTAAAAATAAACTTTAGTGATATTAAACATTTATTGTTGACTATTTAAAAAATAATATATATTTAATTGTTTCAGGTTTGCAAATTGTATTTGATTTTATGTTTTGGACTATCAATAAATGCGACGCCAATATTACAGGGATTAAAAACCACTTCATCTAATTACCAGCAATCAGAATCTGCATTAACTAGTAACCCAAATTATGGCATCAAGGAATTTAATTCAAACTTACAACCATTTCAATCTGTCCATCAAAATTTAAAAAACCAACCAGGTGCCGTAACTTTTAGAGATGAAAATAATAATCTTGTTACACAGGTAAAAAAAGAATCATTTAATAGCGAGAATAGCCAAAATTCACGCACATTTGAATTCCAAGAAAGTAAACAACTTCCGAATGGGTACTCAACAAGTTCCAAAAAAGAATATTCATCTTCTAGTGTGACAGGATCTCACCCTACTACAGTCATTCAAAAACCAGTAAATACAGATATTTATTATAATAGTGAAAAATTAATCAATAGTGAGTCAAGTGGATTTGGACAAAATATTCAAAATTATCAAGTGCCTTCAAAAACATACGGAAATACGGATTATGAGTCAATTAAATCAAATTTGAATTCTCCAGCTACTCAAAGTATGACCAATATACCGGGGACCACAACAAGATTCAGAGACCAGAATGGTAATATTGTCACTCAAGTGAAAAAAGAAGTAAATAATAATGATAACGGTCAACAATCCCATGTTGTTGAATTTGAGGAAACTAAACAACTTCCAAATGGGTACTCAAAAAGTTTCAAAAAAGAATATTCATCTTCTAGTGTGACAGGATCTCACCCTACTACAGTCATTCAAAAACCAGTANTCTTCGAGTGGAATTGGAGCTTCTTCAAAATTAATAAAAGACACTGCTACTGAAAGCAATGTATTTATACCACAATCATCTAAGTATGGAGAATCAGAAAAATTCAATGGATATAACACATTTTTTAGCAATAAAAAGTATTCTTCAGATCTGAATGGACCCAATCATTCTCAAATTAAAAATGAATACACAACACAAACATTAAACCACAATAAGGCCAACTCATTTGGGTACAATAAAAATGACCAACCCGATTGTGACGAGAGTGGAGTTTCTTCACCAATTGTAGGATTTAACCAACCAACAGGAAATGCATACATTTTGCAATCACAAAATCAACAATCAGTTAAACCATTTACGCCAAAAACACCGACAACACAGACATTTGGAAAAATTCAGTCATCTACTCAGAAACACGAGACTGGTCAACAATCTGTCAATTTGAATGATTTTTACAAACAATCATTTAGTGGTAAGTCAGTTGATATTGATTATTCATCACAACCAAAAAAGCCAATAGGACAACAATTTGAAAATATAGAGTCAATGTCAACACAAACACAAAAATTCGGACAACAATCTGTAGATTTAGAAGATTTTTCAAAACCATCTCCAACAGGTCAAGAATCTGTGGACATCGACTATAATATACACACTCCAAAATTGCCAATCAGACAATTTGAAAAAATAGAAACATCATACCAAAATAAATATAATTCAGTAAGACAACAACCTACAGCAAAATCACATGTTAGAGAGTCATCTGTCCAGCAAAATAATAATTATGGTGAACCTTTTGGACAGCAAGCAGTAGTATTTGAAGGATACAGAACATTGGAAAAAAATATCAATTTAAGTAAATCGGATCACTCACCTACTTATGTTGAAAATTATCATCAAACATTGCACGGTGAACCAATAAGAAGCCCAGTTTTACAAGGTCAACAAACAATTGATTTTACTAGTATTTCTGAAGAACATAAACCAGACAAAGCACAACATTATGGAAATATAGATTTTAAACATTCAACATTTTCTTCTAATACAGGAAAATATTCCACTGGTATAGATCAACCAATAAATCCTAAATTTAATAATGTTTTTGATAAATTGGGTGAATTAGAACACGAAATTCTTGAATCAAAGAGTACTGTAAATATAAACAAAGACAATCATCAAACAACATATTCTACAGATCATAATGTAAAAAGCATGCCAGTAAAAACAAGTAAACAAGTGTCACACTTTTCAAAAGCTACTAATGACGGTAAACAATATAGAGAACCAGAGTCCGAAATGATTTCCAAAACCAACGAACATTTATATTAGTAAGAACAATCTTTAATTACGTAATATAACATAAAAAAAAATGTATTAAACTGTAATTGTATTTATTTATTTATTTATTTATTTATTTATCATAAGATATAGAATTGATAGTATTAATTAATAAAAAAAATGTATTATATTAAGTTAAATTCATTTTATTCCTAAGGTTAAAATTAATTAAAAATATTTATGAATGAATATTAAAATACATTTATTTATTTAAAACCTTACATCTGGAAGCGATTTATGAAAACGAACAAATGTCTTTTGTTGTTCTGGATCTGAAAAATGTAAAAAAAAATACCTTTAATATACATAAATAAAATTGATAAGACTACGTATTGAATTACAAAACACAAACAATATGTACTCATATGGTTGAATATAGTTTAAGTACTTAGATTTATATTAGATTAATTCTTATAATTATAGATATAAATAAGTAATAGGTATTCATAAAAAGGAAATATTGATTATTAGCAATATTTTATCTTTTGGTTTCAGATGAGAATAAACTATTGTTATAATATTGTTCTTTAAATGTGGTATAAATTCAATTAATTTATAAATAAAATAGCCAACAGAGAATACTTAAAATTTGATGCACGAAAATTAAATTACCTACATAAAAACACGAAAATAGTGAATAATAATATTAAACTTTACTGAGGCAACAGATAGGCATTATTTTATTATGAATCAGTTAAATAGATAGTTTCGAAAATTAATAATGTGTAATATGACTTACCTAGGTTTAAATGATTGACCGGTTTTGTGGACATTTTTAAATATTATCAAGTATTTCGATAGCTGCGAAATAAACACACGTTGTAAAAAGTTGTAAGGTATGTAGGTTTTCAACGACAATAGCAACTTAAATACCTAATCAAATTAAATAATATAATAAAGCGGAAGACCAAGAAAAAACGTGAACATCATAGGTACCATTTAACATTATGTACTCGCCGACGACTCGGTCGTGCAGTGGTGCGGTACACATGACCGATGTCTTTCACAAATACCGCCAAAATAATATCATCCGTAGGTTATGATGAAATTGTTTTACGAACTCTTTGGATTGAAGTATGGCTTCCGTGATATGTATATTGTTTATCTCATAGACCTACATAATATTATTATCTACTTCCGCAGTATACAAACTATACAGGTTGTATACAATGAAATCATCTTTCTCTCTTCCACATCAAACTCATTAAAGGCCGTGACACACTACCTACTCGCATGATCTATTCCAGTATTCCACGGACTAAAATATCTCGGTTATATATTGTTTTATCCAGTATCCAGTATTCTTAGTTGGTGGTTATATCTCAATCCGTGCCTATTCATTATTTTATTATTAACATATTAGTCCGTGTCTAAAATGTTACAGATAACCATAGCCTTGAAATAATAGGCCATAGACCGTATACCAATTACTACAACTACTATAGACCTTATACTTAGGCTTACTGATACTATATAGTTAGTGGTGGCTAGTACACAGACGAGCCCTCCGTATATTCAATATTATATACATCGCGAGCAGCGGACAATCTATATTTCCTTTATCTATAGCTGCGGTCAAACATGATAACGATGGAGAAAAACTTGACGGTACACCACTCCGTACAATTATTATTATACACAATAATATAGTATTCCAATCAAGAAAACAGGAAATCACATTGTCCGCATCACAATCAAGGTGTATTGATATCAACACACTTTGATCATAATTCATAAACGCCGTAGACTTGTAATATATTATAAGTCTTTGCGTATACCGTAGGTTAAGGTCCATGATTGTATGTTATCAACACGATTTAAGATACATATCATTAGCCGTAGTATCACATCGTACATATCATCAAGGTGGATAACCTTGGTTAACAAGAATCCTTCGACATCAGCGATTAGCTGTAATCGCAGATATATTTAATAATTTACGCAGACGTATAAAAATACCTGGAAATATATTTATTAATAATTTATATCTGTGATAATACAATTTCTATGTCTAAATTTATTATTTAACATTATGATTTTCGAACAATTAGGTATCACGCTCATTTGCAATTGTTTACGAGAATAATTTTAATATTGAAGAATAATTATTAACATATTAGTATTGGGTCAGTTAGTTTAGTTGTTTGGCGCTTACTACCTATATATATTTTTATTATTTTATATAATTTTTTTTCCGTGTGCAGTGTGTTAATACTCGAACCACCCGCGTTACCTACATTTTGATCAGTTTTGTGTATTTGGATTATGATATTCGGTAGCACTGATACTATACCACTACCACACCCCCCCTAGTTTTCATGCCGAGTCATCTGGTCGTCAGACAAAATCTTGTATAAACAGTAAATAACAATGAATAAGCCGACAAATTGAAATAAATATTGTGTGTAATTTACTATTGATGTATTTTAAACCGTGGTTCGTTGTTAATGTTCCGTCAAAAATTATTCAATTTCATTTTACAATATTGTAATTCTGCACTCGCTTTCTCAGACGAAATTGAATATTGATCTTTCCGAACGTACCTATACAGATGATGTAAATAGTTCTTGTTTTCCGGAATTACATTTCAGCCTTTTTTTTCCATCACATGGTCTACTGGATTTTAATTTATGTGCAAGTGGTATTTTTCTTTTTGAATACTGCGGAATATTGAATTCTCAACATCCAGACGAATAATAAGGTATCCATACAAACATATTATATATTAGTATCTAAATAGTATATTGTACATAAATATTAAACAAGGTTTACACCTGTAAATTAAGCGTAAAATTTCTTCTTCCTCTTACATTGTCTTTGGTATCTTAGCTGGAAACGTCATGTCAGAAATTAACGTACAAGTACGTGTGGGAACGAATCATATTTTTAATACAAAAGTGTACATAGATTTAAATGATACCGTTCTTTCATTGAAGAAGGCAATTTGTAAAATTAAAGAACAAATAGTTTTGAATCGTATGACACTCATGTATTGCGGGATCATTTTGGAAGACTCTCAACCTTTACACACGTATGAGCTATTCTCAGGATGCACGGTGTTCGTGTTTCAAAAAATTAAGACCGAAAGAAAGGCAACTTTTGAACCGATTAATGATGTCACTATAGGAAAGCTTGCCAGAGGCTTTCGTTCGCTTTTGTTGAATTCAGAATACAGAAATTCACTGTCAAGACTTTGTAGACCTGAAGTGATTCATATTTTGTTGCACAACAATCCTGGCCTAGTTGAGGATCCGATTGCACTTACTCTTTTTCAACATCCTGAGTTATTAATGAAGATCACTGATTATGAAACTATAAAAAACTTGGCACAAAATCATCCTGCTTTGGCGTCGATTATCCTTCATGTTACTGAAACTGCACAAAATAAACTGTTGCAGGTAATTTTATTGAAAAATGTAGCCAACTATTATTATATTAATTTAAATGTATGTTTTAAATTGTGTATTAGAACCAAATGAGCGAAGACATAGTGGGGACGGAAAACAATCCTGTTAGTAACACAAGTGATGAAGACGATGATCTAGATGATTCTAATCTTCCAGGTCAGAGCAATGGTCATCCTTACTCCAATGTAGTTTTAGGAGAAATCCAGAGAGAAATCACTGCTGCCCAGTTAGCATCAGCTATAGCGAATGCTACAGCACAACAATCTCAACCAAGTACCAGTGGAGCAAGTACTTCAACTGGAAGTACAGGAAATGCTATTGAGAATGCACAAAGTCCAACTACAACCGAGCTTATTTTACCGACTCAATTACAAATAATGAGAGACATGGGTTTGACTAATGAAGCTGTAAACATTGCAGCATTACGAATTAGTAATGATTTGGAAACTGCTATTGATTTGGTATTAAGCGGTTTCACAAATCCATAATAGTTTTAGAAACATTTAAAATTGATATTATATTCATAAGACACTATTAAAATGAATAGCTTTAGTTCTCAAAATATTTTATAATTCAAAGTTATGATAATATTAATGTTTACTTTTTAATTTATAATAATATATAAATTTCAAAGTTCTTATATTCAACTTTAAATTCATTTAAATAGGAACTACTTTTTGTTAAATCTAAAACCTATTATGTTCTTAGTTATGGGACATTTGAAAAATATATACAATTTAAATAATTGTATACGTTTCCAGCTAAGATTACACATAGATAATTAAGATTTTATGCATATTATTATTTTAACATAAATCATACCTACTATTATTACATTAATTTACAATTTAGCTATTTATTATACATTATTATTATTGTCAGTCTCAAAAGTGAGTAATGGCAGAGTTTAAATATTGGAGTTTTCAGTGTTTCTTTATATCTAAGTTGGCCACCACATGAGATATGTCCATAGTATTTTATTTCGGAGGGGTTGAGAAGACATATGTTTGCAGTTATTGGGTAAAATTGCCACTAAAAACACGGCCGCTCACTTTTGTGAGCCCGACTATATTAACTAATAAGTATATTCATTAAAAAAAGAATATACATAGTCATAAATGTATATATGCATGTATGCATAATTATTATTAATTTTTACTTATTATTATTTATAGAATGTATTATTATGCTTCAACAATAGCTAACAATATAATATTATATATCAATATATAAAAATTATAATAATTACCCTAGTAAATTATAATAAGCATTGTAAACATTTTATTCTATTGATTTCATTATTTATTTAATAAATAATTTTTAAATTATAATAATTGATGATAGTAATAATTTTTTAGTTTTTAGTTTTAATGTACACTACTAAGGATGTAAACGTGTAGAAAAGGTAGAATATAATTATTATTGTGTAATTTAATTTATGTCTGTACACGATGATAAATCTTTGTAAACAAAATAATAATTCTTTTTTGATGAATTTAAATTAAAAATTGTATTATTTTGTATATAATTACAAAACATTTTTAAAATGGTTAGTAACTAAAATTAAAAATGAAAATTCTGCCACATTAGCCTCTTTCCATTTTAAAACCAAATTTTTATTACTAAGTATTTTATTATAACAGTGTATATTGTACCTTAATTTTGAATTTTGGTTAGGTATCATTAGCAATATTTATCTGACACTTTTAAATTGTATTATTATAATTATTAAACAAATCCTTGTGAAAATTTTTATATTTTGTAATTTAATTTACAAAAAAAATCAATAAATTAATGCTAGCGAAAAACGATTCTAAGCAAAGTTTGATTAAAAATATTTTGAAATTCCACAAATTTTACAATTTTATATAAATATGAACTTCAACACTTATAAAAAAAAATCTTTGAATTGGAAAGTTTCGAACTTAAATATATTATACATTAAACATATAAGTTAAAATTTGGAATGTAAAAAATCACTGCTTCGACCAGTGTCAACTTTCAAGTACTAAAAAAATAAAATAGTTTTATTTATTAAATATTAAATAAAACAGAAATGTTTTATAGAAATTATTCAAATTATTTAATTTTTTTATATATTAATTATTTTATTATGTTTATATAAAATTAAATAAATTTAGTTCATCTGTAGTTTCAACATATACAGGTTGTCCTATGAAGATGTACCTTCTGAATATCTCTGGGGATAATATAGATAATCAAATTCTGATATTTTTTTTTATATTACTCACCGGGATGAGAACTACAAATATTTATTTTTGAATTAATTTGATTTTTGGTAAACAAATTTAAAAATAAAAAAATAAACTTTATTTTATTATTTTTGGAAAATATTATTCATCAGATATAAATGTGTGATACATTAAAATTTTTAGACAAATAAATTCTACAAAAAAGCTATCTTAAAATTTTTCGAAAATAAAAAGTAAATTTGTTGAATGTTTTAGAAAAAAAAAATTTACTTCAAAAATAAATATTTGTAATCCTCATCTCTGTGAGTAATATACAAAATCAGAATTTAATTATCTTTGTGATTATCTTTGGAGATATGTCCCTTGAATATCTCTGTGGGACAGCTTGTATAATTTTTGAATTTAGATAAATTTAATGTTATTTAAAATTTAGTAGCTAAGTACTAAATTTTAATTTTTCTTTAATATAAAATAAAAATCCATGTTAAATTTATAATTATATGTTACATAAAATATATTTAAGATTACTGTAATCTGTTAAATAAGCATAACATTTGAAAGGATGGATAAAAAAACAAACATTCCCTAGAGTAGTACTTATTTTATAAATTAAGATCAGAAAGTTAAATAATTTTGATTGAGAAAATAAATTGCCGTTATACAATAGAATGGTAGACTTATATTTTTTCCATATAACAATCAACTATATATACAGGACACATGCTGTAAAAATAATTTGTATTTATATTATATTGTTGGTATACATTTTATGATTGTGTCATACTATTATATAATATATTAGTATCATAATTTGATTTCGAGTTTTATTAGTGAAATAATACCTTATATTTAGTTGCTATTATGAATAATCATACTCGGAAGTCGATTACCATCTAGAAAGATGTTTAGTTTTTAAAATGCATACAGTTATTTTAACTTTTTGACAAAAAGTACAATAACCAAATCAAGACCAATGTCACTGATTGGCTTAAACAAGATTTTTATATTATTTAAAATATACAATTAAGTATAAAAGATACAAAAACTTTTTTTTTTTTAAATAACTAATTTTTTTAATAGTTCATAATTCAAAAAATACTTATGACACTCCCTCCAAAATATTGTTCTATATACATTTCATAATAGGTACTTTTACTCTAAAATCAAAATTAAGCTAGTTTTACCTATTTTGTGTAAGCATTGTTTTTGCGTGTTACCCAGTAGTTGGACTGCAACAGTAGATGCAGGTATAACGTCTTCTTAACTCAAATTTATTTAAATTACTTTAAGAAAGCCATTTTCCATAAGGAGCATTTTATAGATAATTTTGTTCTATAATTAAGGTCTACTTTATTTTTATTAAATTAAAAAAATGGCTAAGCTTACTTTTTTGAATTCTTCAACCCTTTTACACGTGAATGGGATCTTCACCAAATTTAATCAAAATGGAGGACAGGGTACTCAATTAGACATTTAAAAGTTTAAGTCGAGATCTCCCTAGTGCCCATCTTAAGGATTGTATAGTTTTTGTAAAAATATTATTTTATAAACTATTGAAACATTTGAATTGCTTCAATTTATTATTTGTCATCTTGATTTGTTATGCATAAATAATAATTTTTGTAGTCTGATGGCACAGAAATACGTTCTCATCAGTTGTTTAAATTAAATTAAATTAAATCTTTTTTTAATCAATTTTAAATAACTATTTTTCAAACAAATGCTTGTATCATTTATATGTTGTGAACTAATTTCAATTACTGTTTGTACCCATTCAAGATACAGGTGTGCGCAATGTATGCATGCATACTGCATAGTTTACACCTTCTACAACTCAAAATTAGTGGTTATTTTAATAATGTTAAGAATTTGTAGGTACATAGTGTTTAGATTTTTTTTCTTTCTCATTTATTTAGGGATTAGTATGATTGTACCACCTGTGGACCATGTCTTCACACACCTATGATTCCTGTAAACACAAGTGTCTGTTTTACAGTTAAATGGGATATTAAGCAGTTACTACTTTGTGCCACAGATTAACTATTATTTACTTATCTGTTACATATTGTCTAGTGTTCCGTGTTATTCATTTTAAACAGTTGGTTTGTTAGTTGTAAATTTTAATCACATTGCCAAAAAATATCTCTTGATCCTAAAGAAATAAATCCATATTATTATTATTCAATTTAATATTTCATCCATACCTGCAAGGACTTTTTGAGATTTGAATAATATATTTATCAGGTAAGAAGAAAAACCAAAACAATTTCTGCTTTCTAGAGGTAAAAGACTATTATACCTAATCAATTTTAACTTATTATTTATTGTTATTTAATTAAAAAAATGTTTTAGTACCTATATTTTTTTTCTTTTTTCAATAAGTTGAATCTGTATACAAAAGCCACCAGTTTCAAAAGTCTCCAATTCACAGTAACCACTACATAATCATATGCATAGTGTAACTATACAAGTAAATTGTGATCAACTTACAATTAATATAATATTTAAACTAATACTAATTAATTATATTATGTACATATTATATCTTTTAAATATGAAACCGCTTTTAAACTTGAACTCTGTTTTGTCATTATTGTACTTAAACAAAAAAACTATTAATTAACTATTAAAAAACTATTAAATCAGTATGAATGTAATTCTCTATGGGTAAAATATAATAATTTGAATAATGTATTTCAAAATAATTCTTATTATTACTTGTTTTTAGTTAAATTATATTTTCAATAATTTGTTTTTACTATATTACAATTTTGCTGATTGTTTAAACTTTAAACCTAACCTATCTACCTACTTTGAATTTTATTATGGGTGTTTGTCATTTGACTTTTGAGTTTTATCATAATTGTTGCTATGTGTGTGTGTATATAGTCACCTCACTAAAAAGGTACCTACTCAAAATTAAAAAAATCATGTTATAGTAAGAGTACCTAAGAAATCATAACAAAAAGTATAATAGTAATTTAAATTAAAACGTTTTTGTTTTATGCTTGTAATTAAAATGTATTATTATTATTTATTAATTACTATAGATTATGGCCTGTTTAGGAAATTTTTAAATACATTTTGCTAAAACAAAACGTTTATTCGTATGAACACGTTGCTACCAATTACCTAATTACATACCTATTGAAAATAAAACAATTTTACGAAGTTTTTTGGTAATAGGTACCTGTTAAAAAATAATTAATAATGTTATTATAGCATCGTATTTGAATTATTAATTATGAATTTGTATTATTTGCAGGTTCCTCAAATTCATTTTAATTTAGATACTATATTACAAATATTAAGAAACGGATCCGTCATTTTCATCACTAAAAAATGGCCCCGATTCCTATTCACAATAAACCAAAAAAACCGTAAGAACCAACGCTCTTAAATTAATTAACGTACCTACCTACTTTTTAAAATGTTGTCATAACATAATATTTAAACTAGGTATCGCATACACCAGTGTTTCTCGACCTTTAAGATATTACAGACCACTCTCTTCCTTCTGTCTGTGTACACAATTTTAATCAAAATTAAGTACTCATTAACTGTACTCATCAACATCAGGTACCTATGAATTTTGATGGCACGTTCCACTTTTTGATAATCCTTGTGAACATTTTCTTTAAAAAACGAGGGTACTTACGCAACGCTGGTTTTGGTTAATATCGATTTTGTTTTTATGTTGTTTAGAGGAAGAAATTATTGTATAGACACGTGTTATTTTCACCAGATACTATTAGCTTTGTATGTGCAATTTCCAAAATATGTCGACTTTTATTTATAGCTGTTTTGAAATTATACATATAGACTAGGTACTTAGCTGTGGGGTGGTTGGGAAACACTGCAGGTGTATAAATATATCAATATTAATGTTGATTTTCGTGTATTTTAAACGATACGTATTATAGGAGTTATGTGCCACCACAAGGAGTTCGCTGCCAGAAGTGCTTGGAGTACGGTCACTGGACGTACGAGTGCAAAGGAAAAAGAAAATTCGCGGACCGTCCGACCCGTACGACGTTACTCAAAAGGAACTTGAACAAAGACAGACCCGCCAGTCAGCTATTACCAAAGTACATAATTTTAATAACAATATATATCGTGCTGTCAGTGACAAAATGGCCTTAGTTTAAGAGAACTACTTGTTTTTGGATTTGTATGTTGTCACGGGGGCACGCTCGCAGAGAATCAGAGAATGCAGCAAGTGCAAAATATACTTTTTGTGTTTATGTGACCATTGGGGGTTTAAGTTAGGCTTTGTAGTTTTATTCGTATAATCGTATTAGTCGATACCTATAAGATCGTAAAAAACTTATTTGTGGCTTATATAATCACGGAATTTACGTTCCCGAAAAAAAGAACAAAATATTGAAGAATTATTAAAAAAAATGATTCAAACTCCCTGGCTTACTTGACATTTTTGCTCTACATTATGATAGTAGTGCAATAGTGCAATATTTTAATAGAATATAGTAGCGTGACGTAAGACGGTGTACACAAGTGCACAATATACCAGTGCATGTTTTTTTATTCATCAAATAACACTTACTGTTCAATATGTAAATTAATTGCTGTAATTTTGATCATACATAAAAAAAAAAAAGTTATTATTAAACGTATTATATTTTATAACGGAATAATACAGTTAGGTTTTTAACAATAATAAAATAATTGATAGTTATATTATTGTGATGCGATTTAGAAATTATAATTTGTAGTTTTTACTAAGCAAATCACGAAATAACGCCGTGTCCGGTAGTCCCGTGGGACTTAAGTTAGATTACTTGTACATCCTGTATAGCCTAATATTGCCTAACTGAATTTGCGTTTAGGTTGAAAGATGAAAAATTGAAAAAGAAACGAAAAGACGATAAACGGAAAAAGAAACGGGGAAATCAGTCGGACAGTGATGGCAGTTCTGCCAGTAGCTCAGACTCCTCCAGTGACAGTGGCAGCAGCGGTGACGACAGCGACACCAGCGGTAGCAGCAGCAGCACCAGCACCAGCAGTACCAGCAGCAGTAGCGCCAGCAGCAATAGCAGCACCAGTAGCAGTAGCGAAAGCAACGGTCCTGAAAACCGACAAATAATCGACAAATGAACGCCATACCCCTCCCCCCTCTCCACATTATCCATAATCCTCATCAGTATCGCTCAATATAGCATGTAAATAATATAGACGACTCGCCGTACCGTGTGCGATGGATGCGCAATACTATACTAATAATTCCATTTAATTTTACCTTAAAAATTGAATAAAATAACCATTTGACGGACGTTACGACACAACCGACTCGGAACTACTTTCGTCGGAAGTCGTAGTGGTGCTGCTGCTACTGCTGCTGCTGCTGCTGCTGCTGCTGGACGACGACGATGAACTGGAACGGTCGTCATCTTCGTCGTCGTCTCCGTCGTCCACTCTGGGCCGAGTGACCGTCGCGTCCGCCAAACTCGTCCTGTAAACCGCCGCCGCAGCGTCACCAACCCGCGTATCCCAATAATAATAATAATGTACCACACGCCGTATCACGTTGTTAGTTCAATGTAATATTTTTTTTTTTTTATCTCTAATTAATTTCTTTTTACAAGTACATAATATTATTATTATTATTATTAATTTTTTATATAAATAATACGTGTATTATACACGCCCTCGATACTAAGCGATAGGGTTTTCTTTTTTTTATTCCGACGACTATTGTTTTATGATCATCGAACACTATATTTTAAACAATAAGTGTTGAAAAATAATAAATACTTGAAAAATCGAAACAAACTTTTTTTTTAGCGTGTTTTTGTTATGCGGACACGTCTCGTCGTCCAGACACACGCAGGCGTCTGCGTTGGACACCACGACGTGGCCGTACGACCGGCACCGGATACACAGCTGCGGCGCCAAACATAGCCGCCTGTCGTCGTCCATGGTGACCGCCGTCGTGCGATCGTCGTCGTCGCGTGTGGACGGTGTCTGGTCGTCGGACTCGGCGGCACGCACGACACATTTAGACTATATCAATATAATATACACGTATAGAATACCTAACCCGCTTTGCCCCACTTCATTGATTTTTTTTCGGGCATAAGTTCAAGAAAATAGCATCGCAAACGTTTGGATTCCTATATCAACGCACAAGTCTAAATTTGGCTGTTATTCCCTCGGCGGGTCATTACCGTCGTTGAATGCCGGCCATAATCGAACGACCATCACGTGTGAGAAACTAATTTTGTCGGAGTATAAAATTATCGAAAATTACAAAAAAAAAAATAGAGAAAAATAATTGAACAGAAAGTTAGATAGTTCAGAGTATTATAATGTCGCGGTTATTTAAACAACGTAAATCACAAGTAGATAACATAATTGGATTTGGGTGGGGGAGTATTTTTCCCAATTTAAATTTCAGCCTTGTTAATAGAAAGTCGGCTTATTTGTCATTTTACCGATATCTGAATTTTGGGTGCGGGAAAAAAAGAATTCAAAATATCGAATGTAAGTTACACATGCTTTAATTTTTGTTATTTGTGTGACCTCTTATTGATATGTAATCCGAAGGTAAAATGTTTCCAATTTCGATACTTTTAACGGCGCTCTTTTACTTGTATAATAAAATATGTAGGTAAAATTTAAATGCCACAAAAATGTATACCTACTTGATTATTTGAATATACGAAAATCTGAAACATTTTATAAACGAAGGGCTGTAATATACAAACGAATTTTTTCTTTTTTTCAATGCCAGTGAGATTAATACCTTCTTTTCTCCCAGTGGCGCAATTTGATAATAAGGGTCCCATATGAAAATTTCCAGACTGGGGCCCTTATACCTGCTAATAAAAATGAAAAACAGTCATACCTTATTATCATAACACTGAAAAATATTGTTTTATCATATGTCGTAGTTAATAATTATTAGTTATATATATATGACTCACACTTATACTCACTAACATAATTATGTATAATAATATAAGAAGTTATACATTATTATTGAAATAATATAAGAAGTTTCGATTATAGTCTGTATACTCTATACCCACTCGCATTCCGATATCCGGTACCTAACCTAACCGGTACGCAGGTTTCTCACATAGGTACTCGTAAATCGTAATTCGCATTATCCAAACTCAAATGAGTAAAGACATCATTGTTTATTGTTATCAAAACAAATAATATAATATGTGTAGGGGAGAGGGAGGCACATTGAAACAATAGATAGCAGAGAATAAAATCTAGCGGTTCATACCGATATGCAACGATACGTAATGTTAAAATGTAACGTTTTCATTCTGTAGCGATTTGATACTAATAACCTGAATCGATATCCATATAGATAATGAACCTTATCAGAACGATAATGAGATAGGTATATAGGATGACTAGTAGGAATATCGTATATGAGATCTCTGGGCCCCCCAAGACCGGGGTGTGAATTGCACACCCGATAATTGCGCCACTGTTTTCTCCATCAATCAGAAAATGTTGGTAAATTTGTCCAGTTTTCTGAACATTTAATTTCCAAACATATTGACAATTTTTTTTGCTTGTTCATTATTAATAATCCAAATAATATTGCATTCACTAGATAGTATACAACGAATGCAAAAAAAAAAAAATCCCTCTGTATAGGTAGGTATAGAAATTAATAAATAATATGTGCATGTATATATTTTAAATATGCATTTGTAGAAAACGCAGCGCTGACGACGATCGGTGTGAAATTCGTTGTGATCTCTCGACTAATGTCATCGGAAATACACCCATACAAGTTGGGCAAACGTGTTCACAGACGAAAAAAAAAAAGTGGATTTCCTCTGGAAATAACTCGTTTTTGTTTTTTTGGACGTTTTACAAAAAAGAAAACGCGTTCGTTAATTACATACCTACACGGCCGAGTTTAATATTGATATTCACCTACCTAGGTTTTAACTATGTAGTTTATTTGATACATATTGTCAATACCACCGCACTTAATATCATTAAAATATTTAATCTAATATAATATGTAATCTGGTTCGTTTTTTTTCTTTTTGTTTTTTTAAGCCGCAGTCCGAGTAGTTTAATCCACACGCACAATACTATATACTCGTTTGACCGGAAACGCGGTAAACGGCTTAATATTCGCCACATACGGATACTTTTTTTGGTCCCGGAGAGGAAGGGCATAAGTCAATTTTGTCATTATTTGTCTATAATTCAGTCTACAGTGAATTTGTTCCGTTTGCCTGCGTTTTAAATGGCGTACGTGTACATGCATGCTTGTGTTCTAAGACACGTTGAATTAAAAATTAAAACTATTTTAAGTCGTAAGTCGCCATATGATGTACATTTTGTTTGGCAAAAAGGACAGGAGTCGTATTATAATTATATGATTTAACTCTATTAACAATTCTATATCTTTGGTCCCGGAGAAGGCGGGTTCAAATCAATTTCATACAAAACGGAAATTATGGAATTATAAAAATTGGACATTTTTTTTTAAAACTTTTTTCGTCTTATAATTTCGAGCAGTTTTTTTCTTTCTTCGTGCATTTTCGTGATTTTTGAATCTAGAATTCGACTACAATTTTATTTCTAAATCTGTACCCACTAGCAAGATCTGCCATTTATAACAAACTATTAACTACTAACTACAATAATCGTATTGCATTATTATTGGACAATTTTGTATAGGTAGTAAATTAATGGCTGTGTCGAGACCCAAACAACCGAGTGGCTCGTTTTGTGACGAAATCGTTTCATGTATTTTTAAATGAGAATTCGCTACCTTATTTTGATTTTGAAAGTCATTTTTTTTTTTCAATTTATATCATATGTAAGTGCATTGTTTTGAATTTGTAATGCATGTGCCTATCCAGCGTTCGTTTCGGGAACTCCTACAGGTACGTATACCCGTAATCACCCAATAGTATATTATATTGCGCGTCATAGTCGTACTTTTTAAAAATAGTTACCGACTTAGCGAATCGGTTGGTTTTTGTTTTTATTTTTGGTTTTTAATCCTTAAAATAGTATAGCGTTTGGATCTTCTATTATTTCACGGCTGTATACAACCGCGTCTCACTGATAACCTGCCAAAAATTTCGGTATAACCGCTATAATATTTTAACAGGTGCTTCGAAACTAAAATTAACTCGCAACTGTTATTCACCATCAAGTATAATTATATACCGATGGGAATATACTTTCATTACGAGCATAAGATACGCACCTGACGTTCGCAAATTATTGTTGTTATTATTTTGATTTAACGCCACCTACGTTTTATCTGTAACATAATATTATCTGCGCGTACTGCGTGTAATTATTATACATTTAGTCATCCGTGGATTTATTAATTTATACATGTTCAGACAATAACATAATCGATATGATTGTTATGTTATAAATTATTATTGTGCGAGAATTATTACAGATTGTATTATTGTAGATTGTACACCTACGTGATATACGCCGTATCGGACTCGCATTTTCCTTGAAATCTGTGTGTGCACAAGTATTTTTTTTTTTTTTCCTAATACTATATATAGTTATACATTTTTTCTTTCAAGAATAAAGTTCACGGAGAGTTCACCCGTGCAGATTCGATTTTAAATCGAACACTCCTATAAATGATAGTTTCCGATCGGCATAGTTATTTTTAAAACCAACGTTCATAATTTATTTTCATTGGAACAGTGCGATTTTAGTAGGTTCCCGTATGACGGTTAACATCGAAAACAAACTAGGTAGGCACCGATTATTTTATTGAAAAAAATTAAATTCCGTTTAAATGTCGATTATTTTCAATACGCATAGGTTACCTGTGTTTTAAATCATAATTATTATACTATACCTATACAATTACGTGCTGTGTGTTTCCATCGAACGGCACCTAACACGAAATATTCCAGTCGCGGATAGACCTAGATCGAAACGGTAGAATGGGAGGGGGGTGTTTGTTAGGAAATTTCGGGACACCGAAAAGCACGTTATGAGCCGATTTTCAAAATCCTAACCCCCGCGGTGCAAGCAAGCGCAATACAACTTGCGTTATCTTAAACGGAAACACAGTTATACATTATTATTTAACCGATAGTCCTATTTCGTGTTTCAAGTAACTATTTGTTACTGACTATTGTTTACCGAGACAATTGTTTCCTATCGTACAAATTGTCCGATATATTAAACAGCCATGTGAAGTCTGTTAAAAAAATATTGTTTTTTTCGCGATTTTTAAACAAATTCAACACGTAAGTATACTATGTATGCATTTGTACGATGTAATTTTTTGAATTTTCGTACTTTTCGTACACGTTTCCCCCCCATGAAACAGTATAGGTGTAGTCAAATTATTTATTCGATTTCAAAGTCATCAAATAAATTGAGTTTCTTTTTTTTATTTTTTAGAACTGCTGTTCGAATTAAATTCAGATCATAAATGAGTACATAGGAGGTGGGTAGATATTTTACCGAGTATCATAATTTATTATTCGATATTTTATAATACCTACTGCAGTTATAATTTCCCATGACCGATTAATTATTTTCATTTACACAATGGATATTTTATTAATTTGTTTATATTTAACGAATAAATTATTAAAATCATAATATATAGGTGTTTGACCTATAAACCTTATATCGATAAACGATATATTAATCATTTTTACCTTGTAACATTCAATGCCATTATAATACGTTTATGTGGAAAATTACAATAACATTTTGTCACACGACGTAATTTCAGACATACCTACATTTTTTTTTGTTTTTGTTTCCCCCCCCCCTAATTTCTGTTACCGGAATAAAGTAACTTTTTACTTATTAACGATCTGTTTTTTTTTATTATGTGTAATATGAAAACAGTTCGAATAAAATCTCCGAAAAATCTCAATAAGGAATTATGGAAATCTACGATTGTGCACTATTACAAACCCGTAAAAGTT